AAATGCTTGACTGGCCTGCTCGAAGATAGTCTCAGCAGAGACCTGTGCTCGTCTGGCCTTGGCTTCCGCCTTCGCGCATTCCGTTACACCGTTGGCTGCCGTTGACTCGTCATCTGGTTTAACGACACCCGGCACCTGGACATAGAGACGGGTGAGGTATTCTCCTGACTGGATGCGCTCTCGGGGAATGACCATGACGGAGCCGGAGTCAGAGTGGATGGCGCATCGCTTTCGAATATCGGGGAAATCGGTCACGGCAACGAAGTCCACAACACCCCAGATATGATCCGTCGATTCACCTTCGAGCATGAGGCCCATGCATCGGCGCACAACCGAGTGTGCACCATCAGCACCGACGAGGTACTTGGTTCTGATAGTCTTCTGTCCTTCTTCGGTCTCGATGACTGCGACAACTGGGAAATCTGGGTCGCCCTCTTCATCCATCTTCACATCGATCAAGCTGGTCGAGCGCATAATACCGCGCTTGGAATATCTCTTAAGGTCGGTCTCCAAAACCCGCTCGATTCTGCCTTGGTGGATGGTGATTTCATATGGGTATCTTGACTTGATCGCGATATCTGGCACGATGGAGGTGCGCTCGATACCACCGTCGTTTGTGGGATTCCAGAAGCAAATCTGGTGCATGTGACAGCCGTCATTGTCGAGCTCATCAAGCACTCCCAAACTTCGCAGGACCTCGAGTGTTCTGGGCTGCAGTCCGTCGGCCTGGCCGGAGAGAAGGGTGCTCGACTTAGAGTCAATGCAGAGTAAAGAGTCGTCGCCCAAGCCATAGCGAGCAAGGAGCAGATTGAGCATGAGTCCCGCGGGACCACCCTAGAGAACGGCGTTAGCTGTCTGGTGGCCCGGCATAGCACAAACCGCGCAGTAGATTGATGTATTTTAGGTCGATTCCCTATGGATTTACGTACCCCGACGATGACTACTTCATACCTATCTTCTTTCTTCTCGAACGCAGGACAGAGACGGGGCAGCGGGTTGGCGAACGAAGGCAAAACGCGCAGCTGGCGGCTTGCATTTGCGAATTCGGTGAAAACAGGCATTGTGACCCGGTGCTCTCTGTCCTTGAGAATTAAGGATTTGGTTCGAAGACGGTGACCCCAAAAAGAAACGAGAAGCAAAGGCAGCGCGATGAACAGGGATCCGACAAGCTATTATGCGAAGGTCGTCTATATAACTACATACGGTTGCACCCCACCATGTGACAGGGAATTATTATCCCCATCCAGAGAAGAAAGGAAAAAGAAAAAAAAAAAAAAAAAAATCCCCGGACTTCGAGAATCGTACGGTTGGGGATTGAGTTTAGCTAAATCTCCGCTCCACTCCCTACGCATTTTGGCTGCTATTTAGACGCAGAGGTCCCAGAAAACGGGCGGCGGAAGAATCCTTAGTCCTTGTCCCCTGTGGGATATTTGTGGAGTTTGAGTTTTAGGAAGGCGGTTAGGAGCGCTGTTGGTGATGCTGAGATAAGTTGGGTATAATCCATGATTCCTGACTGGTGCGCACAGAGGACAAGTTTGTGGAGCGGAATTCGGGATGCCATTATGATGCTCGGGCGGGTTTGTGTTTGTCCGCCGGGCGGGGTGGACCCATTCCGATGGCGAGGACGTCGTGTGCCTGGCTGATGACATATGCTTATGGAGGAATTATTGATGCAGCTCTCGACTTCTGGCAATGGATTTCTGGTCGAGGCGGATTTTCCTAGCTCTGCATGGCCATTGGCGGGACAAGACGGCAGCTGATTGGTGGGTATGCCAGGAAGCTTTGACCTCGAGTCGGAAGCCCGGGAGTCCGGCTGGCCTTCTCATTGGCTCTATGGCTTGCCCCACGTGGCTGGTGGTTGCCAAGGCTGGATCGGCGTGGGGAAGATTGTCAGAAAACCGGGGAACAGCCACCCCAGGCCCCCCTCTGAGTGGCCAATTGGACGCTCCTCCGGGGTATCAGTCCCACAGAGACGGTTCCATCGGCACAGCGCCCGGCCGGATAGCGAGCGGCATCCGAGATCTCGGGAGTCTGGGGAATCCGATTGGTGTCGGATCGAGCCTACCTGCTCCTCCTCGACGCGTTCGGGACAGATCTGGCTTTTGTTTTCATGGAAATAGCTAAGGAACGCGGCCTTGAACGGAGAGCAAAATCTCTTCGGCAGTCGTGACCAGGCTTGAAAGTGGAATTTCTCGCGTGAACATGCTTCCCAAGGATTAGTATGCAGCGCGATCCGCTTTGAAGCTCAGGAAGAACCGGCTACGTATTCTGCTGCCTGCGACCCATATCGTTTGGACTTTTTCCGTTTTGGGCTGGACCTAGGTTGTCTCGCTAGCATTGAGATCATCTGCCAGCGCTGCTCGGCCATATTCATCGGGTTTGTTCCAGTTTCAGGGGTGCTTCAAGATGAACACAGCTTTCACAGCCCTCCTTATATCTGTTTGGAAACTGTAGTGGAGTTCCGATCATAACAAACTCAATATGTTGATTCCTGGAAATCAAGAATTCGAAGGGAACGTATCACAACCCAATTACACCTGGGCATGACTGCGCATCCGAAAGTTATCCGGCGATAGGATCAACCGAGCTTCACTCTCATGTAGCACTCATATGGACCTGCCGATGTGAGTTGGCTGGGGCATAATTTTGGGGTACTTCATCCTGCTTCGATTTTCATTAAAGGTTCTATTGCTGAGGGTGAAAGCGGGCCGGAGAGTCCGAGAGAACTCCGTCATGGAATCGAGGAGGTTTTAGCGGCACGAGCTGAATCGATGTTTTAGTCTTTCTAACTCATATGAGGTCTTTCCCGAAGTTGAGTCTTATTGACACTTTTCGTATATGAGTCTCTGCATTCTGTGCCTGCTACTAATGCAAACAGTGCTTGAGCTCCTTGGATAGATTGCTTATATTGCAGTGGTTTTAGAAGAACCCCGGTTTTACGTATGTCTATGGCCATCTTCTTATTCCCAGGTCTCAATGTAACCACCTTTCTTTCTTCTTTAATGTTTATGAATTTGGTATAAACGTTATTGAATTCTTCTCCTTTGGCCTATTAGGTTATCTTGCGGACTAGCGAAGGAGTCGACGCATCCTGACTTACGAACAACATACCCTTTTATTTCCCGGAAGCGCTTGAACAGCAAACAAGGTGTGGCTGCTAGAGAACTTCATATTCTCGAAAATAATGGGCCATTTACGGTTTCACCGATTGGAGCAGCAATGCTACACTTGTCTCAGAGTCAAGTATGAGATCTCACAATACATACATTAAGTATATGTATATGGGTACCTTCACTTCATCTCTCTCCGTCACCATGCCTGAGTCCTCGGGCACCTCCCACAGGGGATGGAATTGTGAAAGATTATATATTGTGATCATGTTAAGATACCTTCCCAGCATCACTGGTCGGTCATTATCATGTATGGATACTGGAGCCGTAGGGCTACGAGCTTCATCGACACCAACATAAGATGCTGGGTGAATATTATATATTTCCCTGGAATGCAGCCAGTATTTCTGAAGGTCCTCCCAATTCTCAGTCCGTCTTCGTTCTAGGAATAGCATGAACACAGGCAGCGCGTCCATACATACATTCTGCGCTGGTGTATATGTACTGCACATACCTTGCAGGTACATAGTTAGCCAAGTAACAACTAAATAATCGCCTGAACACCCAATGCCAGCCGCCAAAATTTTGCACGAGGCCTACCTCGATTCCCTAGCATTTTGCCACCCCAGTCCATCGAAAGATTACGGCAGAAGAAGTCATAAATTCCTTCGCAGAATAGCTTTTTTCTTAACTACATGTACTAACACGCATCTACACACACTTCTTGCTAACATAATTTACAGTGAAGATATCAGAGATGAAGGACATCACAACCAACTCCAGCTGGCTTATCAACTCCTCTGGTTGAAAATGTGGCTGGAATACCCCACAAGGAAACCAGTTCTCCACCATAATTGCCTGGTTCGCGATCACAACCTGTATGTGGTTACACGGTTATTTGATTGGACTGAAGTTTCAGAGAGATTCAAGCAAGATCCTTCCAATCCAAAGGTAATGATGACCAGCCATTGATTTTTGCCTCCAGACAGCTTTCGCAGCTTGAAGTCACGCATATACCCCATTCAGTAATGTTAGCAATCGTCACTGTTAATGGTAAGCTGCAGTTAGTACGAATATGCAACATTTATAAAGAGGTATGCCCAGAGACTCTTTCCTAGTTCTAATTCCAACTTTTACTCTTAGAGCGAGTCTAAAAAGCCTGCTCTTGCAATCCTCAACATGTTTGACTTAGGCATTAGTCACCTGACTGAATAGATATTGACTATTCCAAGAAATGCTCTTATCTTAACACCTGAGGCCCATAGAGTCTTCAGCAACTTTCAAATGTCCTTTGAAGCCACGGATGCCAAACACGCTTACAAGGTAGTTCGTCAGATGACAGGGTTTCATTATCTTCAGTCTGCCAGCAAAAAGAGCCTTGCTCCTCTCACAAAGTCACATCATTGATCCACAATCTATGATCCACTGGCAAATTGCCGTTACTCCCCATCTCAGCGCCGCCGGAGAATATATTGGTTGTATAATTTGTCATATGGAGGAAGTAAGGAACTGCAGAGTTGGGCTGTATTGTCCCCTTGAAACTAGGTGATTGGTTGAATAGCATGCCAGCTTGATGATATTTCTTATCTTCTGCTTGCTGGCGCAGGTTGATTTCATCGTTGTCGACCCTAGAAGAAGGCTCAAGTTCTCTGCGGCATTGGCACGCCAAGCCCCGGGATCACGTGCTAAAATAGCTACTGATGACTAATAAACACGTGATGTTAATGACACGCCAAGGCCAAGGGCCTCTTGTTCTGCAGACGCGACACGAAGTCGGATTGTCATCATGCTGATAACGACAACAATGCCAGCATTTCAGGCCCTTTTTCTTTTTCCGGCAATCCTGGTCCTTTTGTCGGCCCTTGTATTCTCTCCTACTATATTTGTTCGTCAACTGTACAGTTCGCTATGTTCTGTACAATCCACCACCGGGTCTAACCGCTTTTCCTCCACACCTTATTTTCCTAGCTGGAATAGCTGGTGGCACCAGCAATCTGCTGGGAAGCGGGGAATCCAAAGTCGGCCCAGCGGCTGGAATTTACTTTACCATCTTGGGGGAAATGGCCCATGGATTGAGAAGATTGACGGCATTCTTGAGGTCGGAGCCTCTGGAATTGGTCCACCGCAGGGGTGTGTTGTGGACGGCGTGCACATGGTAATCATTCCTTGAGCTACCCCCGTGTTTTACTTCCCATCACGGGCCATTGTTTCTTCTGCTGCAAGTATTTGGGCTGGCCAGTTCCAGCTCTCGGCCTGATTATTGGAATCGGCGGTTCGATATTGCTGCCCACTTCCAAGTTTCGTCTCCCACTCTTATCTATAATTTAGTTGTTTCTTTACTGAAACCAGTGCGCGTGTATTTAGATGTCAAGACATGCAGAGAGGTATCCCACATCCAGTGCTGGGGGACGTATGTGATTTTTCATTTATCCGCTGAAGAAAATGGTCTATTTTTCCAAATTGTGGTCCATATTCTTACCTCACGAAAGGTCATCTGGATCTTCTCTCTCGGATCAAAGCTGCAGGCCTGATGAATGGAACCCTTGCATTCCTGAACAATTGGACATATATTACTCAGGATTCCCATGGCGACTTTGATCAGCTTATTAGCCACGGGCCTTATGCGGGAACTTTGCAAGCCTTCACTACTGGAGTGAGACTGCGAACTCGTTACTCCCATCTCCTTTCTCTCAGAAACCATACCCGATTCTGGGCCAGTGACTGCAAACGAGTTATCGACTCAGCGCGATACTTTGCGACCGGGTTCTTTGGCTCGAACTGGGAGACAAAAAACATTGCTACTCTCGAGGTTATTCCCGAGACGGCTGATCGTGTCGCTGATACCCTGACTCCTGGCGACACATGTATTAAGTACCTCGACGATCCCGATCATGGACATGACAAAGGACTTAAAATGCTGGCAGAGTTTCAAGAGGCTTACATACCGCTTATCTCGAAAAGGTTGATGAGAGAGAACCCAAATATCAAGTTTACTAACTCGGAAATATACAGTATGCAGGAAATGTGTGGTTTTGAGATTTTGACACGAGGTTCAAGCCCTTGGTGCGATGTTTTCACTTTGAACGACTGGGAACATTTTGAGTATGCCAGAGATTTATTACATTATTACCGCGCCGGTCCAGGGAACCCATATGGAGCGACGATGGGGTGGCTGTGGTTAAATAGGACAACCGAATTACTTTTACACCCTTCGAACCAAGGAGATATGTTCTTTAGCTTGTGAGCTGGCTGCTTCCCATTCGCCGTTCCCATGTGTCGAATAACATTATAATTAACATTGATAGCGTCCACGATGGCGATATTGCACCCATGCTCTCCGCACTCAAAATATTTGACGACACTAGGGACCTAACAACCACTCACATCGCGGGCAACCGAAACTGGCGGACTTCGCAAGTCATGCCCATGGGTGGCAGGATCATATTCGAGCGTTTAAACTGCGAACCCGGAGAAATGAAAAATCTAAGCGACCCGAGAGATAGCCCAGAAGATGATAGAGCATCACGCTTCATTCGAATTAATATAAACGATGGCATCGTCACCTTACCCGATTGTAATTCTGGCCCTGGTGGAAGCTGCCCCTTAGCCAATTTTGCGGAGAGGACTCGCGTACGCGGCGAAGAGGTGGGTAACTTTGAGACTGTCTGTGGGCTCGATGGTAGTGAGAAGGGGAGTATCACGTTCCTGAGACAACAATAACAAGCAGGGCCCCCCTAAACCCCGGTGCTGGATTGGAATTGTTGCGCGCTGAAATTCCATACTCACCGTGCTATGTTGCTCTTTCAGCAATTGGCGCTTAGTATTCTTTTTTTCCCTCCATGAATTAGATACCTCCAGAGCATAAATAAATAGATATTTTATTTTACATGCTTTAGACAAAGATTTGGGAATGATGCGTTCGCATGTTCAGTCCCTAGCCGCTGACAGGATCGAAATATCTCCTTATTGAAAATCACGTGATTGATTTGCTTAGTAATCCTCTCAAACGTCATTTGGTGTAAACAAAATTGTGCCTCTCAGCGCAGCTCAATACCAATCTCGACTGAGAAGTGTTGGACGTCCTCTCAGCTCCCAGACGCTCTTGCTAACTATTCCGAAGCGTCTATTTTAAACCACACATAGCTCTGACCCTTTGTTCAAAAGATGGAATATCATTCGGTGCCTCCCGAGGAACGCGCAAGAGGACCGAAAGGAAATCTCCTGCCTTTTGGCTATGTATATAAAGAGTGAGTGAACATCATTCCTGACTACCTGCTTTCTTTACTCCCTAGATTTCACGCTGTATTTTTGGTTTTTTTTTTTAGCTGTGAAAGTCACTGGCTGCCATTCACTTTCCTTTACGTGTTGAATCTGCTACCTGTAGTCCATAAGCTTACGGAGGCGCATTTTCATTACAGCGAGTCCCGAAACCCGAGGAGACCCCCCGAGGAGACTGGATCGTTTGGAAAGAGGCGGAATGCCCGATACAGCTCTACCCGTTCCGGCACTCGGACTGGCACTCCGGCCAAGCGTGAAAATCAGAATGTTGCAGAATTCGGCAGGTTGTTCGCTCTCCAGCAAGAAGAAGAACAAGCCCAGAGAAAGATGTTACCTTCCACTGCCTCCTCAACCACAATCGATCCCTCTCGCAAAACCGCCGCTCCTGTTGCCACTGAATGTATCCTCTATGGATACAAGGATAGGACATGGGAGTGGAAGGTTATTGATCGGTTTGAGCGCATCTCACAAGGGTTTATCTGCGAAGATTATCCCCGTACCGATCCGGATATCGCTCCAAAATACCCGCAGTTACTGAGTGCTGGAGACGTAATACATAGAAACCTCTCTGCGGAGGCCAATAAAAAGGCAAAGAGATATGCTGGGGGTGAACACTGGATCAAAGTCACTTTCGACTCTTTCACCTCCGCTGACCGGGCTTGCTTCTTTTCACCTCAAGAAATTGATGGATATACCGTCCATTGCGAGCTTTATCATGGCCACGGACCCAATGATGATGTTGCTCTTGCAAAAGGAGATCTTGAACCAAGGCAAGAAAGTTTACCAAAGCCATATACATTACCGCCTTCGGCAACAAATAATTTGCTCCAAGGGGGAGATATCGATAGTACCGTTTTCCCTCGTTCCTTCGAATCTGTTTCTTTCCGACGTGATAGCCAGCCTTTTGCCGACACGGCCTCTCAACTGTCCACAACTACTGCTAGCTCGGCAACTGCGACCGCCATAGCATCTGAGAATGACGCCGTCCGTCAGCGAGCCCCGCAGAAGTCTCAATCTGAATTTATGACCCACATCCCAACTGTTCGTCGGGCGGTGCTTCGACCGGTATCTGAAGCGCTACCTCCACAGCCTTCTGTGGGTGAGCGCATCATTCGGTCCATCCCTATCCTTAGTTGGTTCAGTGGCGACATTGTTGGGGATGGACCCGTTTTGAAAGAAGATGGTAGTTTCGATCATGAGAAATCGAATTTATACTGGCGATTTTGGTACATGGTTGATGTGGTGCTTGGAACAGATCTATGTGGATTAAAAGAGGACTCTTAGCCCTACTGAATCACCGATATTTACCTCCGCAAGCTACAAATACGGCCCGATCAATACACACTTCGTCCCGTGCGTTCGGTTCCCCGTTCCCCACTCAACGTCAGTACCGTTAGAACGATGTTGTGTTAGCGATGGATATTAAATTCGGCTATATACTGTTTCGTTGCTCTGCGAAGATTCTGAGCGGTTATTGAATAACCTATGAATCAGTATATATGACACCTCGAATGGTTAAGTCACGCGGGAGCGTATTTCAGCCCAATGGGACAGCAGTGACTCTTATCGCCTGTTGTGCCTTTGTCCACTGTTTTACGGGCGGCTGCGCTTGTGGTCCGCGACCTTTTATCCGGGCTGTTCAGCTATGAAGATGGGCAAATTTCCTTGACAGTCCTAACCCCGTGTAGCCTTCGGCTCGGGAGAACGGACTTGGAGAAAACCTTTTTTTTTTTCCCTCTGGTGGAGATAGAGTTTTGAGAGACTCTGGGACTCGATGCCTCACAGGAAGAGAATTGGTTTGATACTGGTTTTATTTCATGTACTTTTATGGCTTCTGGATATATTCAGCGGCGGCGTTTTTATGTAGTGGCATCGCTGTAACTGGGATCTACGATTTCATAGATATGTGAGCAATGGGATCTATCAGCCAGCAAGCTTTACCTGTACATGCATGCAAAGCGCCCGCAACTCTATTCATCTTGTACGATATCAAGCAGTGTAGCTTCTCAGCAGGCGAACTTGCGGCTGGTGAGTCGAGCGGCCTACCGGATTTGGAAGTTAGGGCTTGCGGAGTGGCTGGGGCCGGCGGGTGAGCTGCTGACCTAACCCAGCGGTTTTGCGCTAACCCGAAACGGGCGTCCACATCGCAAAAGGCGAGCAAGGGAAATCCGACGCCCAACCTCAACGCCCGTCACTTGAAGCATCAGACAGCTGTCAAGGATATCTCGAGTTCCTCCAATCAATCGGTATGTGGGTTTCTATTTGCTGTGGGCGTTGATACTGCTACGGCGTGTCCGAGAAGCTGCCATTCGCCGCGCCCGGCATTTTGCGTTTCCACTTGCTTTTCCCACAACCACCCCACAAATAAGTCACGGTTTGTTTCAATTGTCGATGTGCATGGGCTAATTGTCTGTTTCTTTTCTCGAACTTACGAATAGACGATTTCTGCGGAAGGCACAGTTCGCCGGTTTTACTTTTGTATCCGCTTACGCCTCTGCTTCTGGTTAATTGGGATTTTGAAGCGAGAAATTCGTTCGAGGACCGTTTGGGTTGCTTGAACGTTGTTTTTAAAAATACATAATCATGGATCAGGCGAAATTGGCTAGACTGCAGCAGAGCGTGCGGATTGGTACGTGGCCTTTTTTCTTTTTTTCCTCTTTTTTTTTCTTTTACGGTTTGCGTGTTGCGTGTTGCGGATTGTTGGATAGTGGATGGAGTGTAACATGTCGTTTCTCAACGGTGGAAGACTGACTGAATGAGTTGTTCTCCAATGACGGAGGGCTGGCAATGGAAACTTTTCTTACTACTGCTGAATTGATAACTGACGTTGACTACTGTAGGGTATGTATAACAATTCCTTCCCCTCGGATTTGCGGACCATTGAGAAGCCACGCTTTGACCGTTTCGATATATGACCACAAAATTTGATGGATAGTATACGTCCGTTGAGTCGATATGCTAATACATTTCCCAATGATAGAGGAAAGGGTACTCCCCGCCGCAAGACAAAGAAGGTCCACAAGTCGTCCGGAACCGATGACAAGAAGCTGCAAACCTCTCTTAAGAAGCTCAATGTCCAGCCAATCCAAGCTATTGAGGAGGTGAACATGTTCAAGGAGGATGGCAACGTGATCCACTTTGCTGCTCCTAAGGGTATGTTATCTGCATTGCGGTCTTATGGATAGCCAACTCGGTCCGCGGCGCTGATATACTCTCCTCCCCAACAGTCCAAGCCTCCGTCCCAAGCAACACCTTCGCCATCTACGGCAACGGCGAAGAGAAAGAACTCACTGAACTCGTACCCGGAATCCTCAACCAACTCGGCCCCGACTCCCTTGCTTCCCTCCGCAAACTCGCTGAAAGCTACCAGAACATGCAGAAGAAGGAAGGTGAGGCTAAGAAGGAGGGCGAAGAGGACGATGAGGATATTCCTGATCTGGTTGGAGAGACATTCGAGTCCAAGGTGGAGTAATAGGGCAGCAAAAGAAAACAAATAAACTAAGGAAAAAACTATGTGATTTAGCCTTTTGCGTGTCTTGATGCCCCGTCGATATTATTTACAAGGATGAATATGTGGGAAAGAAATGATGGTATCCTTTTAAAAGAAGCTGACCGCTTTTTCAACCACCTCTTGCTCCTTTTTGTGATGTCTGGTGTCTCGGACTATGTTAAAGGATGCTGACGGGTACGTCTACGGTTTGTGTGGAATATGTACGGTTATTTTCTCGTACCAGTATGGGACCTTTCTTGATTCTATCGACTAAACGAACCTTATCGATCGCCCTAAGCTGTCATTTCTCAGATCCCTTCCAAAACATGCTGCCGCGACCGCCAAAATTGTGGGCCAAAAAAAAAAAAAAAAAAGAAAGATTTGTGAAAGAGGTTAGCAAATCTCGCCAAATACCGCCCAAGCACCAGATAAATTACACGGTTTACTCCATATCAAACAAGAACCGTACAAAGCCAACGTATTCTAAGCCTATAATCCAACTCTTTGCCTCTTTTTAGCTTTTTATTTCTTTTGGTCTCGAATGGCCTCCTCGGACCATTCCCACAGCGTTCGTCCCAACTCTCTATCCTCTGCCCACTTATTCTTCCACCCTCCCACACCAACGGGTGTATAATACTCCCCGCTCCTGAGAGCTCCTCTCTCCGAGCCTGCCGTCCAAAGGTGGTTAAGACTGCCCTGCTTCTCGTCCACGGTAATAGATTTAGCTATTCTCAAACCCACCCGGGCCACCGGGTTCGTAGCCATTAGCGAATCATACAGACCGGTGATGATCACACCCGGATGCAGAGAGACACAGGATAATTCGGGATAGCGACGGGCCAGTTCGGATGCAAAGGCGATGTTTGCAGCCTTGGAGGCGCCGTAACGAGTGGGTGGGTTGAGTGCGAGGAGGGAGTCCGTCGAGAGCATGGTGGATAGTGGCGGGGACATCTGCCAGGCCATTGATGCGACGACGATGATGCGCACGTCAGCTGGTTTGCCGGCGGACTTGGTTTCTTGGGCGGTTTTGGTGATGGTGGGCAGGAGGAGCTTGGTGAAGAGGAAGTGACCGAGGTGGTTTGTGCCGAAATCGACCTCGAAACCGTCTTCGGTACGGTTGGGCAATGGATCCATTACGCCGGCATTGAGGATGAGGGTGTCGAGACGTTCGTTCCTGGAGGTGAACTCACGTGCTGCAGCACGGATCGAACTGAAGGACGAGAGGTCGAGAGGCAGATGGCGGATATCGGCATGCTGTGGGAGTTGCTTTTGGATGTCATCGATTGCGGCTTGGGCCTTAGAGCTATTGCGCGCGGCGAGGTAGATGCGCAATGGATTGTGTTTGGCGAGCTGGAGGACTGTTTCTTTCCCAAGTCCGGCGTTTCCTAAGAATATGGGTTAATATCTCGAGTCCTCTTGGGATAATAGTAAATAAGCATTCGTTAACCTTCCCGAGGATCTGCTTACCTCCGGTGATTAAAATGACCTTGCCGTCTTGATCAATGATATCTTTCTCAGGGTCAAATTTCTTGCTCACCATCTGTCGCAGGTTTGATCCCACCAGCTTGAGCTGGTCCATAGGATATAAGACAAAGCGTGTCAGCGGAGTGGCGAGCGAGAGTAACCCCTGGAACCCCGAGGGAGCTACCGGAGTGTCTGGCTCATGATGTTTGTCTTGCTCGGATGATGCGGCCGGACGGTCGTCTTTGCGCTCCTGTGACATTTCCCCTCTCTGATATTCCGGTCTCTGACTGACAATACCTTCGTGATGTCGGGATTCTCGAAAGCTCAAATGGTTTGTTGAGACGATGACGTGTGATGGACGCGACTCAAACTTTCCATTTCACCGGAAGCGCCCCGTAGCCAGTTAGCGCGGCCTGGCGTCGCGAGACTAAACGCCATGCTTATTCGAGCAACAGGCTTTTTGGTCTGGTATTCTGTACGGAGTGCTCTGTTGAGGAGTTTGTGGAATTGGTGATCGAGTTCAAGCCATGAAGTCAATTGGCGGAACAAAACGTTACGGCGAGATCCAGCCGTTCAGGCCGGCTGAGACACAGCTAGCGACTAACCAACGATGCCACGCATATGTCGAGCCGGTGGCCGAAAAATGCACGAGTGAAAGCATTGTTAGAGGCGAAATACGGAGGAGAGAGTGGTCCTCTGGCTATCTTTCTCGAACGATAGTTACTTATTGGCTAACATCTAGGATAACTCCACCATTGGTTCACTATCTTGTTACCTTCTACTCCGTACCTTACTCAGACTCCATATCCCTAAATAAAGTCGCAAAACTCGACGAAAAACCTATAATAATAATAATAACGATAACAATGATAATCCACTTAGGATCCATCGATACACATAAATCAAAACCCATACTCCTCAACATGTAAGTATATCCCCTGGGCCCCAGTGCCCTTATGCACCGCCCGCTCATCACTCAGGGACACCACACTGCGTCTGACATCAGCGTTCAATCCCTTTGGCCCGCACGCGACGACGCCGCTTTCTCCTTCGGCTTGTTCGAGAATGGAACGTATAATTGTGCGTGTGTCTGGACGTCCAGAGCGAATCGTGATGCATGGGCCAAGTAGGTTTTGAGGACTCTGTGGAGAAGTAGGACAGCGGCTTTCTGCGGTGCTTTCTTTCGCCTCCTCTGACGCAGTGACGGGTAGCAGACTGGGACGGGCTGAAGCTGCCCCAGAGCACATGCACGGAGGCATGGAAATAGTCTCGTCTGTGACTTTTTTGGTGCAACAACAGCCGCTTTGACGAAGGCAAGACGTAGCTTTGCTGGGAGCGGTGAAGGTTTCCGCTGGGGGTACCCTTTCTTTCTCAAGCGTCACCGAATCCTGCGAGACAAAGGATGACTGAGAGGCTGAAGCCCACTCCAACGGAAGAAAAGAAGTTGGTGCCCCCGAAGATAATTGTTCGTCGCAAGTCACATATATGGTTACCTCGAGACTTCTCGTTTCATTGAATGAACTGCTCGTGGCAGCGCAGTCATCGAGGTCTCGTTTCAATTTATGCAGCTCGTCGATAAACCAGGCCAAATGAGCCCGTGCCCGGACTATCCAGATAAACCGAATGCGTTTGGTCAACGCAAAGTTCGGGTGGAGCGGATCTTTAGACTGGGCAAATTGAGGATCAAGGTACTGGGTTTTCCAACCTTCAACGATATCGCGCATCAGCGGCATGGTAAATGTGGCACCCATGCCACTAGCGATCAAAACGACGCTGTCAAATTGTTGCAGGGGCCTTATCCGGCCATAAGGACCCTCAATCACCACAGGCTTGGGTTTTTGCGGAATAGGCTGATCGTTTCTCCGCCCTAAGAACTTACTATGCTTCAAGGCGTAGTCGAATAGCTTCTTTGTTCCTCCTCTTTCCGCTCGAACCAGAAGTTCTAATTTGCGGTCGGATGGGATGGAGGCAATGGTAAATGGGTGACTCTGGAATGGCAGGATAGAATGACAGGAAAGGAGCACATGTTGACCAGGCTTCCACGAAACTGCGGCGTCATGAATTGTTATCCTCGTGACATTCCCGGGCAATGGTGTGAATGTTGCCCAATTCGCCCATTTCGATCTCTGTCCCGTGGACGCCGCTCCCCGACTAGAGGATGAGAGGCGTACATTGGTAAAGGCCATGGCGACATATCTTACCGCCCGGTCAAAAACCAGCAGGCCAATAGGTACCCAGGACCAGGCCTTGACCTCGTCTGGGGAATGAAGCCATACGGCCGCAATAAACCCCGAAAATGTCACGATATGAGACAAGACGAAGAACTCGTAGCTCAACCGCCGAACGGGCCCCGCGGAAACGATAACGATGTAAGTTAGAATGCACCATGCTGCGAATCCTCTCTGAGTCAACGTGTCTGTCGATAGCTTGACTATGATATAATTATATCTCCCCCAGCTTCGAAACCAGAAGCCCATGTGAACCGTAGCGGTGAGCCATAAAGTCCTTGCTATCCATTGGTGCAACCAATTCAGCCGTTCGTAGCCAGAACCTGTGAGGAACCCAATGATATTGGTTTTACCTGCTAGGAGAATTATCAGGGGCAGCTGCGCAATGGCCATAAATCCAGTTCGATAGCCGATAGTTTCCCAGCTCCATTCATCCATAGTATTAAGCTTGTAGAAACAGAGGACCATTAATACAACCAAGTTTGCCAGGACCATGCTCAAACGACCTAGCGTTGGCATATGGACTGTGATTCCCCAAACCCTCAAGGGAGGTAGTCCGGCTTGGGAAGCTTCTCTGATCAGTGCTGTTGCCGTGGCATACGCCCTGAAGAGAAACGATTTCGGCTTTGCAGGGCTAGAAGTGCGGTCCGAGAATCTAACGTTCGGGGTCAGCCCAGTAAAGAGGACATTTCCTGACGGTCGACAAACCTTTGGGCCGCTATGATCATATTCATGATGTTGGCGAGTGTTGCAGCACCGACAAAAGCTCCCAACACTGCCCAGTACATGCGTTGCAGATCAAAATGACTGGGGACGCCATCAGGGGAGGAAGCCGTGTGAGCTCCATGGGCATGTCGCCGTTCCATACTTCTGGCTACACGCTGGCTTGATGACCCCAAACAACGTTGGCAGCAAAATCGACCAAGCAGCTTTCCTTTAGTGAACTTGCTCCTGGAGAATATCCTCCGGTCTGCGTCATACTATAGTACTGTATATCCTCGCCTCAAAGTAAGTGGCCGAGACCTGTCATACCAATCGTGCAACGGGGCCGGAGATATAAGAAGAAACAGAACAAGGCCAAGAGAGTTAAGTTGGCTGGCTTTGCGTTCTTCATGGTTCTGGCTGTCCATATTGCGGTGTACCCGTCTTGCCTTGCGAATGTCGTGCTGTGGGGATATTGAGCAACGATGAGCAGAATATTACTAACAGAGCTCGGGTCCAGTTGAGTTCGAGTCATGATAACCGCTCGCTAACTTAACTCTGGAGTTTAGTTAAGTTAGTTACTTGAGGAGAGCATAATGTTCTAGGCATTGTGGCTCTGTTGAACGGGCGCGTATCGCCATGGCCGGGCCATTCTGCGTGGCTACTCTTCGAGTGGGAATTGAAAAGCCCCCCCGTTGTATGGCGGGATAGTGCAGCCTGCCACCATCATCCTCCGCTGCACCGATGAAAATAAGTTTGTCGAAATAAATCTACGTGGGGGTGCAATCCAAGGCCCGGTTCTACGCGATAACCTTAAAGCAAGGCACGACAAATGGGGCTACCAAGGTGCCTCTGGGCGCGGTTGTTGGAGATAATCTGCTCATCGCTACAGTAACTAACTTTGGTATCGGATCGATTTCGCCTGGTGAGTATATAATTATGACCAGTCTATCCGCCTTGCGACGTTTATGTCATAGGCAGGAGAGAGTCAGAGTCGCACATGCGCCCGACTGGCACACATTGTCACCCAAGCACTGTTCCCATCAGACAATATCTAGAGACATCGACGGATCTTTGTTGATTTGCAGAAAGCTGCATTGAGCGATCTTCTCATCCCACATGTCCTTCGTCATTTTCCAACGGGCGTGAGACGTGCATTAACCTTGGCTGCCACAAGAGCTGTCTGGACTACGTGGACTGGGAAGCAGATATATTCTTGCTTGACCTCCAGCTTCACCACCTCGAAAAACTACCTTTTTTTATTTTATTTTATTGTTTTTTTTATATCGTCTCTATTTCCCAACTTTTTACTCGGGTAACACAAGGAACCAGAGACCACCGGGCCTTTGATCTTCAGACACCTTGAAAACCAATGTCTCACGGTCTTAGCGCTCGTCACGGCGTTGCCGGGCACTCTCATGGCGGTGGCCCGGACTCGTCAATCATGGCCATGGTCTTCCAGAATTTCATTCAAACACCGCTATACACCGAGGCGTGGACGCCAGCAACGGGCGGCACGTATGCCGCAACCTGTATCTTTCTGATTGTGTTGGCAATGCTCGGGCGCGGCCTGATCGCTGTTAAGGCCATGCTCGACGAGCGGTGGCTGAACCAGGCACTTGAAAGGCGATTTGTCGTCGTCGCAGGTCAAACTCCCGAATCCGAACGGGCGTATAATGACCCAGGAGCGAAAAATGCGACTTTGTTGACTGAGAGAGGAGTGGAGGAGAAAGTGAGGGTTGTGAGACGAACGTCAGGTGCGCCGGTGATGCCATGGCGGTTCAGTGTGGACCTACCTCGAGCAGCTTTCGTGACGGTCATGGTCGGTGTTGGTTACTTGCTGTGAGTTTCGAGATTCCGTGTAGAAATCTTGGGAAGTAGTTGCTGACCAGGAACTGAAGCATGCTGGCTGTCATGACTATGAATGTGGGATACTTCCTTTCCGTGCTTGGAGGTGTGTTCCTGGGAGATCTTGCTGTTGGGCGGTATGCTCATCGGTCGGACGAGCATTAATTTCTTGAATGATGTTATGATTCCAAAAGGGATACGGGGGATAGGCTTGGAGTTCTCTGGTTATGTCTTTTTAAGGGTCTCTCTTTCGAAGGTCGGATGGATTAGTTAACCCAGCGCGGCGTATTTATCTACCATTATTTCATCAGATTCGTTGATGCGCGCCTTTCTTCCTTCGCGATGGCTGACAGTGCCCTCCTTGGAGTTGTTTGAGTTGGGGATAATTTACATACCGTTACCACAATACGGAGTACGGTTATCCAATATTAAGATTTGACTAAATTAAGCTTACCGGACATAGGTAAATTTCCTGTTCAGACGTCTTATTGGTCCTGTTGGGTCCTCCGTGCAGCTTCGGTTCAATTTGTCCGGCAATTGAATACACTAAACAAATACGTTAAGATCCTGTAGGGGCCTGTAGACTGGAAATCTTCAATGTGATTTAAGGATATCCTCACAAGAAGTTGAACTTACCTCCCATAATCTGTTTTATTTTTAGTCTGTTGTTTGGTTCTTCGGCCTTTTTACAGCACAATTCGAAGGCTGCCACTGCAGAAGCGAACTCTCGTACTCCGTACAGTTGTACAGGTCTAGGGATGGTCCATACATCATAGCAGAGTGGAGATACTCTCAGCGCGCAGAATTGAGCAGATTCTCTGCCAATGGTTGTTTGACTTTCCAGCCATAGTTAATCATGCAGCTCTCTTTGCTCTTGCATCAATTCTGGGGAACTTGCGCTGGAATAATACTATCAGTCTGCAGTTGAGACACTGGAAATCGTCTTGGATGACGTGCACTGAAGCTCCTGCATGCCTTGCAAAGAGCCGACGATCCGGTCCAGGTACTGGAATAGGCCCATTACCCGAAGGTGTCCGATCGCGAATACACTTTCTACGGGAACGACTAAGTATTATGAAGTGGCAAGAAAGGGATAACGTTGGCAAACGCCGTGGGTTGAGCGTGTAACCGGAGCTAGGTTTTAGCCTAGAAAGTACCTGAAAGCCTGTTGTGTCTGTATAATTAGCTGTATCTCCTCCGATTCTCAGTGCCTTCCCCCACAACCCGTTCTAAAAGTAAAGTAAACCATCGAAGGGATAGCATACATTTTCAACCGCATTCTCTTTTTACTCTCACCTTCCCAAAAGTAATCGTCCACCTCGTTGAAGCGGTCTGCAGAGCACCAGAGAGTCTCTCAAAGCAACCACAATGCATCTCTCAGGAATCGTCTTTGCGTTCAGTGCTCTCATTTCCCTCTCCACAGCCCATTTCAGGCTGGTTGACCCGCCACCCAGAGGTTTTTCGGAGGACATGCTCACTAGGTTCCCTTGCGGCGGCCAATCAATGTCCAAGTCCCGTACCAGCGTTTCCTTAACCGATCTCGAGATGCCCATCGCATTGGAGATGGGCCATGATCAGACAGCTGTGCAGGTATTACTGGCGCTGGGCAGCCACCCGGGATCGAACTTCAACATCACCTTGGTGCCGACATTTAGGCAAGTTGGGCTGGGAGACTTTTGCTTGCCATCTGTTAGCTTAGATGAGCAGCGTCTGGGTGTGAAGCCGGTAGATGGGATGAATGCCACGCTGCAGGTCGTGACAAACGGAGACCCAAATGGTGGATTGTATAATGTGAGTCATTCCTTCTTGTCAGGGGTTACATAGTTACATAAATCCCATATATTAACAGCCGGGAATAGTGCGCCGATATCACGTTCTCTTCCACAACGGAGTATACCGTTCCCAGCAGCTGCAAAAACGGCACCGGAGTCACGGCCACGCCATTCTCGGGAGAAGCAGCAACACGTAATGCAAACGAGTCCACGCCGAACGGACAGCCGCAACGTGGCAACTCTGGATCTGGACCAACATCGAATATAGCTGGTCATTTGGAGACAGCTACCTGGGGAGTTTTAGGCGCAATTGTTGTAGGGGGTGTTGCGTTGCTATAAGAGAGGCCAGCCGGTCCCTTCTGGGTTATGGGTAAAAGCTCATCCAAATCAGTAGGTAGCAAGTGCTATCTTGTTTTTATGAACTGGAAATCCAAAAGCTTTGGAGTTGGGTTGGACAGGTGAAGGTATGTATGTATGTACATATATATATACCCTGTCTAATTATGGGGCGATCAACAATATAGATCTTTTCAGCACCATTGGATTCAGCAGCTGAAATCCAAATTTTCCAACTCTGAAACCACTGTACGGAGTATATCAATAGCTCTGCCGGTAATATGGACAACACGGGTTGCGCAAATCAGTATCTTCGACAATTTTGATTTCACCATAGAAGTGTGCTCCTTCGTTTTGCCAAATTTGCATCCTTTGCTGATGTGCTTGAAATATGTATCTTGTCAATAATGCCGCTGAACTATGGCCACAATCGTAGAGGAATGTTTTAGCTACCAGGGCTGGTTAATCGTTCCTCAAAGGAACAAGACTACAGCAGTCAATGGCAGGAAAAGTCCTATTGCCATGTATCCTTGACGGATGTAGGATGATGGAGATGGGGCAGTAGGTGAAAATGCAGCGTTAACAGCCCCAGGCTCAACCAGAGCATGCGGGATTCAGATATATCACAGTGATGCTCCTGGTCAGAGGTCAGCGTCGCATCTCGCCCAGCGCGATATCGAAGCTAGTTAGTTAACTAGTCAAGGTTGAAAGCTGACTCATCTGCCAGGGAGCGGATCAACAAAAATGCCGATAACTAACTAGTTACCGAGGCGGTCGCGCAGGGCAGTTTCTCGGTCTATTGGAAGCTGTTGGAAGAGCCATCACTTGACTGCCGCATCCCTCTCTACGTTCTAGAGGAGATATCCGATTACACATGTTCAGGATGGTGACAGCTCCGTTCGTAGTGCCTGCTTTAAAAAAGCACACTGCCACCGTTATCATGGCCCATGGCCTTGGCGACGAGTAAGTCTGTCCTGCAATGACCTCCATCTCGGGGTGATCCAATCATGCAGCTAACAGCAATGGCAGTGGCTCCGGGTGGTATGCTCTTCCTGTCAGCTTAGAATCGAGATGGCATGTTTTCTCTCGATACTGATGGGGGGTTTAGGATGATGCTTGCTCGGAATTGGCGCCGTCGAGGCATGTTCGATGAAGTGTCGTTCATATTCCCTAACGCGCCCTCAATCCCAATTACAGTTGTATGTCAACCCTAGATACAGGAACTCACAAAGATGTTATTAGGTGTGGATATTGAATGTTGTGGTAGAATTTCGGCATGACCATGCCGGCTTGGTACGACATCGCAACGCTCTCGGTCACTGTGAGTAACACTCCCTCTCTTGGCTCTGTCTCACTCTCTGTCTCTCCCTGGATGTTGGCACCCCGTGCTTATGCAGAAAACGAAAATGCAGGCCACTGAGGAAGAATTCCTTAGACAGCAAGACGAGCCGGGAATCCTGCGATCTCGTGATTATTTCAACTCCCTCATCAAAGAGGAAATGGACAAAGGAATCAAACCTTCCCGTATCGTTCTTGGCGGCTTTTCACAGGGCGGAGCAATGTCGCTGATAACTGGCCTCACATGCAAAGAGAAGCTTGGAGGAATTTTTGCTCTTTCCTGCTACCTGCCTCTTTCCAACAAGATCAAGGAACTACTTCCCGAAAACTGGCCGAATGAGAAGACACCGGTCTTCATGGCACACGGGAATGCGGATTCAGTTGTGAAGTTTGAGTTTGGGCAGAGTTCGGCCAAGCATCTCAAGGAGATGGGCATGGAGGTCGACTTCAATGAATACCCGTATGCATTCCTACCGTTAGCGGCCCTTGCCCCGATGCCGGTGCTAACCCTTTTTATTTTTTTTTTTTGACTACAGTGGAATGGGCCACTCAGGTGACCCTCTCGAGATCCAAGACCTTGAGAAGTTTTTGGCGAAGGTAATTCCGCCAGAGTCGAAAGAGGCTTCGCCTGGATTATGACTAGATAAGGTTCAATATCTATATACCCCCTTACTTACATTATTATTACCATTATTTGCTATTTTTGTCGCGCATCGGGTATTGAGATAGAGCGCTTGCATTAGGATTATAGGTATAAATCTCATAGCACAATATGCTTCTACTGTTGTCGGCTCTCATTCCTTTTGACGTTTCCTACAGTGGGGGTGGACAGCCAGTGTGAAATGTCCCCAATCATTAATGAACGATGAGATGATATCATGGATTTCTCGTTGATGCTCTTATTATCAAAAAACAGATGAGCTCCCCCATGCCTTCACGCAAAATATTTCTTCCTAATCCCAGATAGATGTGCAGCAACTGGGATCAATACTTAGCTAACCCTTACCGAATTGCTCTCATAAAGTCAGGGTCTAGAATTGGCGACAAATGGTAAGATGAGCACCAATTCAAATACCTGGTCTAAAATCAGAACACAAGTGAAACCCAAAACTATAACGTTGTGTGGTCACAGCCTGCGTCAAGGCTTCTTCCTTTCTTCCTTTTCTTTTCTTTTTTTTTTTTTTTTTCCTCCAAATTCGTGGAAAGAGTCCTCGTAAGCAACAAAATACTCTCTAGGCATTTCGGAAAAGCTCCCAGACACCAAAAACTTCTTGGCCTTCCGAAGCAGCCGACTCTGGAATCCCAACCATTAGCAAATTAATCACTCCATCGGAGCTGATAGGCTTTGTATGCCCAATATCTTCAAATCTCTGCCACCACCTTCGCGAAATTTGCCACATGTTCCACCCTCACCAGTCCAGCAGCATCTTCTAGGCTTTTGTCAGGAGTGATTTGACACTCCAAGGACGTCCTACGGGCGCGTACTTGTCTGAATTGAACGTGAGCCTTGCGCTTTTGAACCGCTAAAGAATCTTTTTGCTGGGTAGATTAGCTATACCACCAGCACCAAGTGCCGTCATTATTTGGGGAAGTATGCAACTACCGCGTAACCTCTCGTCAGTGATTGTGCACACTGGACCATGGTGTGAAGCTCCTGCATCTCCCCAAGCTTATTCTGCTCCACCGGATCAGCAGTGCGCAAGGAATCCTGCGTGCTCGGCATGTAAACCGCTTTGCTTAGCTATTTATACAGAACTAAGTAGTATCTGGTTTGCAGTCATCTCGCTTGTCAAAACTCTAGCACGCAGAATAGAGACTTTGCAAAACCTGTCCTCAAAAAGACTCATGCTTGCGTTCATCCGCCGATGCACCTAATAAGTCTTATGAGCAATAAGCATAGGCGTTAACCGTGCCGTCTAGTCAACCCCCGAGTCTCAACTTCGCGATACGGCCCAATTCCGCGGACCGCACACCCGCTGTGTCCAAATCCCTGAGAATAATTATTGATATTCTCCTGTTCCAGAGAGCTGGAGGATATGAGGATATGAGCAATGGCATGTAAAAAGCTGGGGTGAAGGGGGGCCCAACGATTGGTCACCCTGGGGAATAGGGGGTCCGGGCAACAGGAATATTCTCTAGGATGCTAAGGTAGGTATGTACTCTGTAGAGGCTGAGTGGTTAGATCTTACACACGAATGCAGCCAAACCATCCAAAAGCCCTCCGACCTTACTCCGGCTAGTTACCTAAGCGGACGGCAATTTGACTGCTGGGTCATGACATCATGCTGGGATGATAGGATATGCTCTGATGCGATCGCTGATTTCTTTCAGCCCAAGATCTCCCATAGTCAGTGCTTCAGCCGGTTTACACGCATTGAACTCTTATTGCAGTGACGCCTAAGAAGGTTCAATTTACTAGTAAGGGTATTACCGTCGTCGGGGAGCTGTATGTTCCTGTAGGGTCTGCCCCAAACCGTAAACGAGCAGGCATCGTTGTCAGCCATCCCATGGGAGGCGTAAAGGAACAGACAGCGGGCCTACACGCAACAAAATTTGCCGAAGAAGGGTTTGTTGCTCTTACTTTCGATGCCGCATATCAGGGCGAAAGTCATGAAGAGCCAGCGAGCCGAAGATGTAAGGTCTGCCGTCACCTATCTCTCAACAGTTCCCCGACGTGGACCCGGAGCGTATCGGTGCTCTCGGGATCTGCGCGTCAGGAGGATATGTGCCGTTTGCCGCCCAGACAGACGTCCGCATCAAAGCCGTGGCAACCGTGAGCGCCGCTGACGTTGGCCGGCTGTTCCGAGAAGGAATGGAAGGCACCGCCATGATCATCGATCACGACGCGCTTCAAGAGACACTAAGATCAGCTGGTCAGGCCCGTATTGCAGAGGCCAAGGGAGAACAGCCGCCGACTCTGCCAATTGAGCCCGACAGCCCCGACGATATACCGCCAGAGACCCAAACACTGTTTCGCGAGGGGAGCGATTATTATCGCACCCCGCGTGCAGGCCATCCGAGATCGACAAACCGGTACCCCCTGAGAAGCTACGACCTGATGGTCAATTATTCATCATACGCTTTCATGGAATTGATCTCGCCTCGTCCTCCCCTAATGGTAGCTGGAGCTGATGCGGACACCCGGTATTTCAGCGAGGAAGCCGTAGCACGCGCAAAGGAGCCCAAAGAGCTGTTTCTCGTTCCTGGAAAGACCCATATTGGCCTGTATGATGATCTGAGTGTGTCTTTTCCGAAGCTTCTTGACTTCATGATCAAATCCCTCGCTCTTTGATTTGAGTGCCGTGCGGTTTCAACGGTGTTTTTAGATCTCTTCACATTTCGGTACGAAGCAAGAAAGTCGTATGAGAAAGGGTGTAGTTATCTTTTGCAGATGAATTCGAAACTATATTGGACCTCTGCCGCTGGACTGGAAAAACTTTCGGCTCGGATTATCTAGTGTCCGATGCACCGACGACTTCGGGTGTTCTTCCATCACTAGCTTCAGTCCCGACGCGTGCAATTGGAATTTGAAGTATTATCGAGTGACTGGAAACTGGAAAGCTATAGAAGCCGGCTTTTCAACATGGAGCTGACGGATCTGTGCTGTCCTGAAGTTTTGAGTAGAAGTTGCAGGTGAAGAGGACAGAGCAACTCCAGCATTGGCGGCCGGATGCAGCGAGAGAAATGAGACACAGCGGTTTGCCCTTCGCGCATTGACATGAGATCTCGGCTTCCCTTGTGTACCTGGAGTTAGCTACTCTTTTATAATCATATGCCTGGATCCAACACTCCGATCCTGAAAGACTTGGATTCGTGGTCAAGGAAATGAGATGACGGATTGGAACTTCTCTCAATGTCCGGCAAACCGCACCAATCCCGGGGTTCTTAGGCCATGCATATGTCTCCCTTAAGCAAGCTAAAGGTCCTTGTTGTTGCTACAATCGGTGGATGACCCAATGGTGTTAAGCATTTCCTGACTCGCTGCACGAAGGCTTATGATTCCGGCCAATGCTCTATTCTCATAAAACAGAATAACAAAACCGCCGTTGGAGATCGCGAGAGGATACTGGACTCGCGCGGCTACATTATTGAATTCGCTACGCTCCAAGGACAGGAGATGTAGGCCGACGGCCATCCATTCATTTCCGGCATCCATATCCTTGGCGATGGGGCTTCCCCAGAGAACGGGGTGGTAAATTATACCAGGATGACAGGTTGGAAGACTCGACGCATATTCACTGACTGCAGGCCCCTTTTAGACTCCAAAATGTTCTTGGAGAAATTCCGGTCTCCAGTCTATACTAGTTTATCCACTCTTATGCAAGACCTGAACGCTCGGCCAGATTCTATTCTCTCTGGCTACCTCGGCGCCGTAATTGATATGAATGCGGAGTGCAACGTTCCTACTGCGTAGCATTAGACGCAGATACTAACTGGTATTCTTACCGCGAGCTATATTTTGGGGACACCGGGTCTTCAAGTGGATGTGCCAGTTGCATAACGAGCTTGTGAATATTCAATTACCTCCTAAGCTCCCGAACTATCTTAGACGGTAGTGGATTGTGAGAGCGAACGCGAGAGTAACGAGAAAGCCACCCAGGGGCCGAAATCCAGAACGCTTATTGCTCGTGAATACTTTTTATGGCCTTGAGCAAAACCATTCCAGTCTTTTATTGAAAAGCACAGGAGGACCGTATATCTTGCGTTCAGGACCCATGTCCTTCTACGAGATAAAACTACCCGGGAGATTCCAGCTCACTTGGCCGCTATCCTGCACGATGGTATGGCAGACGAAATCATCCGGGCCACTTCATGGAATGGCGCGCAAACAAAGTAGCGTAGAGGCAGGGCAGATTCCTAGGGTTGCATAAGTGGTGAATACACCGTGGGTGACCTGCTGGCTGGCCATATCTTACACGTCGTTTGTAGAATTTGCACCAAAAAGGCGACAAGGCGAAAATGTCAGTATATCCTTGCTTATTTATTCTCCAACCCAATGCGAAAAGGTCTCATCTGGAAAGTTTGATCAAGCGTTTTGAGTACTCCCACCGGCATGGCAGAACTTAAGCCAAATTGGAGTAGCAACTTGATTGGTTTTCGCCCCTGACAGAGTCCGTCAGCCTTGCCCGCCATTCGCTTGCCCCAACCCGCCCTTAAGCACGCCCTTAGCAACAGCCCTAACTGACCCTGTTCGGTTCCCCAGTCACGATAACATCGGTCCCTTTGCCATCTAGACGCAGCTTCTCCAACATATAGGCCATGCGCTCTATCCAGGGTCACACGCAAGAATTGCTCCGTAATGCGAGATACTATCTGGATTTAACTTGCTTCAGTAAAATTGCTATTGCCAACTTGATTAATTTCCTCTCCATCCCTTGTCGATAAAATGACAGACAAACTTGTCGTCCTGGGCCATACCGCCGATATAATGCTTGGCTCAGCATCCATAACGCCGACTCGAGATATAACGGCGATACGAGCCCACGACAAATCACTGATTCCAGATTTAAAGCTGAGGTGTATTCCTGATGCTTTTCGTTATCCTCCACTTCTCAAGCTGTTTGGAACCCCCCAGCTCTGTTTGGTAATCTTTTGCCGATTAAGAATCCTTCCAGGCTTCTCTGATTCATGGTCATATAACCTACACCCCCTTATTGACAGCGAGATTTCCCGTCTACATGAAAGCTGTATTAACGATAATTTCACCGGGTCTACGTACTCGACACATCTATCCCCTGCTTTCTGGTAGGCAGAGGCCGATTGCCAAAGCAACATACATCCAACGACAGCCGTCTTCAACCTGGAACGGGAATGCGTTAAAACCGGTGAAACCCGACGCGGAGAAGGGAGCCCCCCTTCAACATTTCCTGTATTGCCATCTATCGTTTTCCCTAGCATCAAAAGATTCATAAGATGCTGACACCGCACTTGTTCCGCAAAAAGGACGACAACAGATAATCTTGTCAATTGGGCTAGGCAGGGCTCCCTATGGCCCCTTAGCTTTGGCCTTGCATGCTGCGGGCTTGAAATGATGAGCGCTTCCATGCCTAGATACGACCAAGACCGACTTGGTATCATCTTTCGCGCATCTCCACGACAGGCCGACGTGATGCTAGTGGCAGGAACCGTCACGAATAAAATGGCTCCTGCGCTGAGGCTGTTATACGACCAAATGCCCGATCCAAAGTGGGTAATTAGTATGGGCAGTTGTGCGAATGGAGGGGGGTATTATCACTACAGTTATAGCGTGTTGAGAGGAGTAGATCGTATTATTCCGGTTGATATCTATGTTCCGGGATGTCCGCCGACCCCGGAGGCTTTGCTGTACGGAGTGTTTTTGTTGCAGAAGAGAATGAGAAAAACACGGATCACGAGAATGTGGTATAGGAAATGAAAAGGGGCCTTGGGGAGTGAGAGCCAGAGAAATCATCCCGTACAGGCATGAGTCCCAAATATACACTTGCGTGGAGATGATACATCGTCTTTTTCCCGAGAGAAAGTGCGGCTTTCTCTCCTTCGGTTTGTACATATACAAGAATGATTGCCGCTCCGAGGACTACAATCCTGGATTATAGGCGTTCTCTTGGTATAAAAACGGGATTTCCGCATTAAACTGGGGGTTCATTAGCAGACCTCCAAAAGAAAAGGCTGTAGTGGCGATGTCGACAGGTTCCACTGTTGCATCAACCATGGGAAACTCGCTAGCCAAACCGCAGACAAAGCTCTCTCCCAGTGAGTTCTGGTTATGTCGGGAAGAACTTGACCCCGGTTGTGGGGTTCGAAAACCCGCATTAGCTGAAAAGTCTTGATATGGGGGGCATTTATCCACCGATTGACGGGCTTTCAAAGCCTGAAGAATCCGAGAAAATAGCCGATAGTTCCAAGCAACAGGCGGCCAGTAGTCTTGAAGTTTGTCTAACACGAGCATACATAGATGAACTCTGTGCTCAGAGACATCCCTGACTTTTTGGGATGAGCTTTGCATGTTGGCGATATGAGTAGACAAGGAAGCAAAGGTCGGCGCGATTCTGCGAGACGTTTAGGACGAGCTTTCCAAGGGATAGAAGCGACATACACATATAGGGGTGAGAAACAAAGCGCATCTGACGAAAGTAGGTCCTCCAGCATTCGGACCACTTTGACGGCAGCATCAAATGTGGTCGTTCCCACGGCCATTCTATCGGGGAAATGAGATCCATTTCGGTGTAATAGTATTCGACAAGTGCTGACCAAAGCTGTCAGAAATACTCTGAAAAATTGCCAAGGATCAAAGCACAAACTAATAAAGTAAATGGAGCAAAGAAGCCCAAAAGCCATTTTGTATCGAGATGGTGGAGGTTGGATAATGTAATTCCTTCGGCAGAGAAGTTTCCCATGAACTGAGAGTTTCGAGAGACTCGGTCCTTGTCGATTCGTCGGCATTGGCACCGAAGGTCATCAAAAGGCACCTGCTTACTGGTGCATAATGTAAGCAGATATTCTCAGAACTGGAGTTTTTAGATAATAAAGTTACTTTTTGTAGTAAGATCCGAGAGGTATATCAAGAATAAGGTAGATTCGGTCGTTCGTTTTCCTAACATATGTGACTCGATAATTTCTTCGTCCTCGTCGTCAAAATCATCTTCAGTGAGCTGCGACACATCGCAGTATGCGTCGTTGACGTGCGGTGTTTGACCCAAGATCAATGATTCGAGAATGTCTAGTATCTACAGTAGAGGGATCAGCGACGCAAAATGTTGAGATCTTGATGTTGTCTGTAGGGTCCTCTCACATATATACCCCACCACATCCTTCGCCTTAGCTTCCGATGTTTTGTGTTGAGGTTAGCATATGCTCTCCTAGGCTATTTGTTAGCGAGATTTGTGAAGACAAAAACAAATAAGGGTCCACCAACGATCGGTGCAATTCCAGCGACTGCGCAAGGCTGGCTGCAATGCCCATCCAATGCCATGTATACTTCTGCTCCGTGGGAGTTCCCCACCACTGAGACAGAAGGCAGACGGTCTGGAGATTGACTATCGAATCCGACTCGTAATTTGCGTCATACAACGCTTTCGCTCTATGATAAAAAGCGCAACTCGCTTCATGTCGATTTTGAAAACCAGCTGCTTTGTAAACGGAATCCTCGCAATGAATAATCGCAACGAAATGGATAGCATGCAAAAGTAGCGGAGAAATACGCCCGCTCTCGTACTTTAGGCAAAAGTCTTCTCGGTCAAAGAGCAACGATGACATCGGTAAAGAGTACCGGAAGAATACCCTTATCAGCTCGTCGCCAACCTCCTTAGGAGGCATCCTAAACGCTCCATGGCTGCGTAAACGTAAATTATCGTCTCTCTTTCGCTCATCGAGTGCAAGTCTTGTCAAGCCATCCAGATTCTCGAGATACAGGCTCTCCAAGTTTTTTAGGTTTTCCGAGTTTTTCTCTGGGGAGCATACACCTGAGGCCGTATCGAACGGGTCACACATTTCACGGAAGATATAATTCAGGTTAAAGCTATCCCCATAGTGGACCATTTCGTTGTCGTTCCCTTGGGTGTTAGAACTGGAGTCCACAGGCGGAGGCGGCGCTTCTTCACATGTTTCCCTAGGAGCTGCAACGGTCTCGCACGCTTCCTGGGTGATAGCCGGCAGGCCGGCATGCGAATTGACAGTGGAATCGCCTTTCGGGGAAGGGTCGGGCAGAGGGCCTCCATTTTTTAATCCTCTGACTGAACGTACCCGGCCCGGTTCATTTCGGTGTCGTTTGTATCTTCAGACGGGTCAGTATATCGAGAAGACTTGCATCCTACGTTTGAAGGACAATCCATGGCTACTATCCCACATACTTTCCACGCCGTGAAATGATGGACTGGCATTCCTGACCAGCAAGCTGACAGTTGGTGCATGCCGATTCTTCCGTTCGGTCACATTTGACTCTCCTCGAGTGACATAGCTTACATGCGACTTTCACCCGGGGCCTAACAACTGACATGGCGGGTAGATATGTAGCTCTTGACTGTGACAGGGCCCAAGGTGTCGTCCTCCCGAGCTCTCTTTGGCAGAATCCCGCTAATGGCCAGCAGCCATCACCACCGGCTCCATTCTAGAGCTGAAACGTTGGAAACTTAGTTTTCTTTCTTGTTACCGATATGTAGGCTGTAGCCCTGAGCAAGATCAAAGCCGCCGTTGAAGCGTGAACCATTCCTCAGCGATTCGGCGATGCCTTGACTCTCCGCGATGGACGACGTCGAAGTTGAGTTGCGGTGGGCTAGTTAACTAAGACCATTTTTGGGTTAGTTAGTTAGTCAACTAGGCTAGTTAAGCATAAATTATCCAAATGGGCTTCCAACTGCGCAGTTCCATCCCTTTTCCAAATCTCATTCCCTTGCGAGCCGGCACGATGAGATGGGTTCAATCGCCTGATTTCATGGCCTGCCTGCTTTACGTTGCAGAGCACCTCTGAAGCGGGTCTCTGGCTACTTGTAACTAATCCTGCCCTATAACTATCGCAACCTTGTTCCTTAGAGTGCCGAGCCACACAATTCCAGAGATTATTGTCAAGAGGTTCTAAAATCGGATATCGCATTGTCCTAGTATCTGAGCAGCAATTCACAAGCGGCATTGTTAGAGCTCAAATTCCGCGACGGCAGCTTCAGTGTGCACCATATCCCCTTTGTACCATCAGACGGCATTCAGCAAGGGTTGCCATGGGGACGAATAGGCAGACTGAACCAACTTTCCATAGTTGACTTTTCGTCCACTGTCACCTATTCCTCTTCCGGTTCATTCTCTTTGCTGTTCCTCATGCTCTTGAAGCTACATCTTCATGGGATGTGGATGAAATGTTCTGTCCTCGGGGTTCTGCACCTTGGGCCAGCAGCACGCTTTTTCTCTGGGGCACCACGAACGCTAGGTACCTTTGAAGATTGACGATGTTTCTCAGGTTGGTCTTTTAAGGCGAACAACCTGTCGCAAAGGTTCGCAATTATTCTTCAATTTTCAAACATTTCAGGCCCCTGATCAACTTGACAACGCCCTGTTTACCGCATTCAGCTCAGGTAGGACCATCGGACATAGGATTAGCCGGCGCACGCGCCATGTTGATCCCTTTCGACTATTGTCAGAGATATGGACACTTCTTAGAAATTGTCTACTTTTTAGACGTACTGTGCTCTTTTAAACTTGCACTGTAAAACTTCCACGGACAGCCGGCGCGGTTACTTGCGCTGTGTGTATGAAATAGCTGAACTCGCCTCAAAATAACATGAAGCAGCCGAGAGAAATATATCAAGCTGGAAATGTGAGGGAAAGAGGAGACGTTTCCTGGACGGATTTCGCCGTGTCGCTGGCAAGCGTGGAACACAACACTGACCCCCTCAATCATCACCTACCGCCATCCTCATCAAATAAGAACAGCTTGAGACCGGGCGTCTTTCTGTCAGCTCAAAAATTATTTCGCTGGAAACCCCATCACTGCGTCAAGCATCCTTTGACTCTCTACAGCAGACTGCCTCTGAAGAAATTAGTATGTAGGTATGGTTCTTGAAACAGCACGAACTCAATTTGCCCATGAAACCACATATTCAACACACCGTGTTGAGAATGATGAAAAATAAGTGGATTAGAGAAATTGAACACATAGATCCATGACTGCAGACCTGGATCAGCTGCCCCAATGCAAGAGTAATTATGTGCGTGTATATTCTATGCGACATGTATATGCCTGAGCTGCAATCCATTCCAACACGCCAAAAAATTTCCTAGCGCCAAAATAACAGTCGAAGATTATACATATACAGGGGAGTCTAGCACAAGAGTCCCTGAACACATTCGCCGATATATAACTCTTTCCATAACGTAAGTCCATTGTAACGCATTAAAAGTCAGAACCGCAGACGTTCTGCAGTTGAGTTAGCCCAAACACTTCTCAAAGCCAAGAGGTAAAGATGGGGTTGAGCCTGATTTTACCTTTCTCCTTTCCTTGAAATCGGAATACAACCATAGCCAGGTCTTTTGATTGCGACAATCTTGCTCCCCACCCTGCTCAGAAGTCTTGCATTCCGGCATAAGCCGCTCTGTTTCACGCTTACTGGCGTTAATCCAGGGCTTCGGGTACGGCCAGTCCGAAAAGTGGACCAGCTTCGTCTCTTTGAGAATTTTCTCTGGATCAAAAACCTCTTCTTCGGAGCCTAGGTAGGCTGCATGTTTGTCGCCACGGAACTCCCCAGTGAGCAAGTTGTACGGTCGATGCGGTAGGATCATACAATGGTCTTTGTACAGATAATTGACGATTTCCATATCGAAGTCGTTGGGCTTCTTGTTCTTGATCGATTCTTGAATGCGCGCGAATTCGGTTGCGGAGGGTTCTAGGAGGATGAGTTGGGATGAAAGGAAATTATCGAGCCAGTAAGCTCGTGTCAAGGCTACTTTCGCAGAAGGGAAGAGGAATAGCTCATCCATGGACTGCGAGTTGAAAAACAAAACAATGTGTCAGAAGCAGAATAAAAGGTAGCATACATAACTAAAACAGTCCGGGAAAACACACACCTGGAAAATTGTAGAGTCAGAATCAATATTCAACACCCGCCGGTAATCGGTTTGGTTGAATGCGAGCAGCTTCGTAAAACTGGCACCCCAGGTTGGATCCGCCGATTCCTGAAGCACCGATATTGGCCTCAGCTTTACACCCAGCTCATCTCTCGCCTTTATCAGCAACCCGGACTTAGGGTCGGCAGGATCATTATCCGGCCACTCTTGAGGATACAGTAAGATCCTATCTGCCTTCACACCAAGACGCTTCAACGTAGTAAAAATCATCACAGAATTGCAGAGGTAGTCTGGGTTCGTCGCATATTGCGAATACGCAAACTGTGACCAATCCACCTGATCATCATTCTTGGGGGGTGGATCTTCGGGTTTCGGGAGCTTTGGAAAGTGAGGCAATGAGCGTGATGGGGCGTATGGTAATAATAGCGAGACACAGAGGATGAGAGTCAAGAGGAGAAGGACAACGCGCGCTCGCTTCGATCCGACAATCGCTCTCCATGTGAAGTTATATGGTCGGGTGTCCGCGTCCATGTCGACCGTGGAGAGAGCAAGAGAGAGATAGCTCCCAGGTCTGGACCAACTTCGATCGCCGGGCAAACGTTGGAAAGGGTCGCGGTCGTGTCTCTTATGTCGTTAAGGAAGGTCGAAGTTGTATCTATTAAGGCAGCCAGCAAACCATTAATCCAGTTTTCTGATCGAGAGCTGCCGCTGATCGAACATCAACCTTTCCCTGCGGACCAGCCGACCATGCCTGAGGTTGAGGATGATCATTTGTCAAGGCGGAAAAAACCGAACCTTTAGCGTGGGCTGCATCCTTGCCTGCTCTCTGGGGCCGCTTTAAAGCCTTGATCAAACCCTGGCGCCGCATGTATGCTGGGCACTATTGGCTGGAGAGATTGCAAAACGGAGCCGGGCCACAGTGGACATTCTCGGTAAGGAATCGCTCCCCGACATGCCGGAGGCGTGGCCCCCGGCAGCGGATCGCTAATTGGGTGTTGGCCACTTCGTATCCGCGCCCAAACCCCAAATGCGCCGCCCCCAATCCCTCCAGGGGCAGAAGCCCAGTCATATTGAAGCATTTGCTTGTCAAAAGTGTTGGGTTTCGGTCCTCCATAGTAGCTTCTCTTGTTGCAGAACGGCCCTTTTTGCGCGATGACGTGACGAAACCCTTGAAACAGCGTCTTTGTTCATCCATCTGACTTTTTAAAGATACAATGCATCCCCGCCCTCGAATGCGCCACACGCTGATAGCGCTGCTTGAGTGAATTCGTTGTGCGGGAAAATCAGCGCAGAACCAGCGTGCCCTGAACACTTGGCTGGATTAGGCTTAGTGCAGCGCAGCACATATTGCTCGACTGCGATCGATGGAAGAATAATCCTCTCAACCGGGACGATGGGGTGAAAAGGCGTCTTGAGGGTGCAGTGAAGACGCTCTCGAAGCGCTGTCTCCTCGGCTTATCGCACTCAGCGGTGATTTTAACTGTTTGAGAGACAAGTTCAACCCCGGCAAAGCCCAATCATCACCTGCCAAATCACACGAAACGATTTGCCATAACTCTGCTGCAAGGATCTCAACGACTCTTTCGCATGGGAGATATGACTGGAGCTCCTCCGCCTCTGGAATAAAGGTAACTGCTTCGCTGTTATTCTGAGGCATTGACACGCCACTTGGTAGCGGGCCTAAAGCTGCGATGGACTTTCCAGACACACTACTGAAGTGGACGCAAACAGCCAGAGACACACCAGTCACACCCAATCCAAACGGGGGGAAAATTGCTACTGCGACGGATTCCACCACTGGAATCATGCAGTTGAACATCAGGGTCAGAATATTTCGCTAGAAGCTTATTATGGCCGATTCGAGAACAATTCCTAGTCCCTAGAGCATGTGAAAATAATGGAAACTCGTTCTGAATGCAGAGGCCGCATGTATCAATGCGCAGAATAACCCCATTACGGCAATTGCGGACCCGAAAAGGCACACCGGGTTGCTGACGTCGCCCGTTATCAGAGGAACCGGAGTCCTGCATGAATTCCACGATCACTTGGATCCGGCCTAGGTTATGGGTAACACAAACACGGAGGAATCGGCTGCCATATACTCCATATCGACTCAACCCAATCCTCCGAGACGGAGAAAGAGCAGCCCGAAAACGAAACCCCAAACCGCTCCTCTCAGGCTGATCTATCCGATCCATCTGCGTGAACAATACTGGCTGAGCAATACGCCCACAGACAGCCCCAAAGAGCAAACCTGTTGATGTTAGTATGGCGAGCAGCCGCCCTATCACAGTTGCTATGTCGGCGATGATAATCCTGTTCAGAATGTCAAGGCCACCACGGCGAGCAGATGCTTTTTTCTTTTTTTTTTTCCCCAAAAATGCTTCAGGCACAGTGCTATTAAGGGAGACAGGGAACACCATGACGAGAGCAAGATTCTCCGTTCAGACGACAGTGCTTCTGCACTTTTCTCTTTCAGATAATCCATCACCCCCCTAAACGTCATCTGCTTCTTACATGCCTGTTCAAAACTATCAAAAAGCCCCGCCCTGCATGAGGTGGAAATAATGAAGTCATTGGTAATGGCAGAAGAATAGATGGTGTCTACATTGTTCACACAGAGAGATGAAGTTGTGAGCTTTAAGAAGCCCTTTTCATCGCCCTCCGTCAATCAGAGGTGGGTGGCCTGACTGACCGAAGGGGCTGATGATATCCTAAAGAGCCTCTTCAGCTGAACAATAGACGATAGCTGCACCTTATAAAGAGGTATTCAACGGGGAGGACGCCTTTCTAAGGCCATGATCGCCGCACTTTGTGTTGTATGTCTAACCAATCTTCTCCTAGGTCTCTTGCTTTGCCGCAAGGCCTCTCACATGATATGCTATGAGGAATTTCCCACGCAAGGCTATTATGCTCGGCCTCTCCAGCTGAAATCTTTTTTTTTTTTTTTTTTTTTTTTTTCTCTTTTCTCTCTCTTAAACTCCCTACGGATGTTGCTCTGAGACCTCCCTCCCACGTTCAACATATTGAACATTCGCGGTTATCTTGATATTCATCTATTTCGCCCTCTTGCTCAGAAGCTTCCTGCTTGCCCTTGAAGAGCAAAATGATCCTTCCTCCGTACCCAAATAGCTCGCTGCCCATTCTTCAATTTATTGATAGCTCTCGCCAGTATGTCACCAATGGGCCAATGATATCGTCTGTCGTGGAAATCGTCCAGTATGAAAAGTGGATTCATGCTTTGATGGGCCACTGGACCGATCTGACGCGGTGGGTTATGGAATGCTGGATTAACTTCCCCCACTGGATTTCCCAGCCGCGTACGTTTACCAGTAAATAAGTCTTAATCAACAGTTTCGCTCAAGGCTAACCCGTTGGTATCAAGATGTTTTCGCGATTATTGTTGCATTTTCGATCGCCTTCGCCGTGACTTGCACTGTCTGTCTATCGGCGGGTTTGGGACCAATTGGCATTGTTGGCGGTACGTTCGATTCGACGTACATAACCCCGCATAATAAGACCACTGATGTTGTGAATATTCCGTTGTCCAGGCCCGATAGCGGCGTTATACCAGACTGCAATTTACAGCAATTTGACCCCCGTTGGAAACATTTTTGCGACCTTGGCAAGTATGCTGTTGACCGTCATCCTGGCATTTCCGGTCTTTGTGGTGGCGTCCGTCATCGCAACCGTTGTAGCGGTGACAGTCTGGTCTTGCGGAGCGGAAGTATCACCAAACCCGGTGTAAGTAACGGGACAAGTGGTGGTTTTGTGAGGAGGAAGTTTCAATATTGCCTGCGTCCCCGCCTCTCTTTGCTCACTCACCACTCCCCTACATATTGTCAAGGAACCGCCAAAATTTCGGACCCGAAAGAAAAGCCTAACTCCAAACTTTTCGAGGCGGCGAAAGGCTTCTAAAAACTTATGTCCTTCGGTTAAAAAAAAAGCCCATTGCCCAAAGATTCATTGAAAGACTATGCTTGAAACAGATTTACAGACATCGGAGCAGGCTCATACATACATAGATAAGAATTCCATGGACAGAGACTGTCATTTTATACCATCCTTCTGACGAATGGCTCCCAAGTCATACACATAAATGCCCCCATAACGCCAGATATTGCCCTCCACTGAGAACTAGAATAAAACCGTAGATTAGACCCATAAACGAGGCATGAAAATGCCCTCATGCAGTATCATCAGGTGTATGCGGTGGTTCATCCTGCAGCAGCTTCAAAATGGCAGACTCGTTTGTCCCGAGAACTAAAACAGCGGCAGAGAAATGCGACATCAGCGCATCACACCAGAAAATCGGAATAGCTATACACATACCTGCCTTCCCGTTATTCCAATCAACAACCTATAAATACAACTCCTATATCAGCATAAAATCTCTCTCAAGAAAAAAGAAAATGGAAGAAATATCCAGGGCCAAAACTCACGACTGGCCTCACAAACCTCTCTCCATCCTCCTTCAACCTTCTCAGCGCATCCAGCCTATCCCTCGCCCCGCTCACCAAATCCCCCGGCTTCCCCGCGCCCACTCCGCCATTGCCCGCCCCCGCCGCCATATAGTCCATGATCAGCTTCAACTGATCCGGCGTGGGCGGCTCCTCGGTGACGGTGAGGTCGAACTGCTCGCGGCGCTGACGTTCGAGCTTGTTCTGCGCCGAGTGATCTGAAGCCTGGTCGATGGTGGCAGTTTCGGCAGCGTTGGCAGAGGCCTGTTTGAGGAGGGCGAGAGCGCGGAGGGAACTGGGAAGGGCGGGTTTGTGGAAGAGGGTGATGATGTCGAGAGGTTTGTGCTAGTTTGGAGGGGGGGTGAATTAGTAGCTCTGGCTTAGCTAGGAAGTGTTGTTGGTGGAGAGAATGACTTACGAAGCGGAACATGGTAGAAGATGCACTGATGGTCACTGTTTGGCGGGATTAACGAATAACTTTTGAAGTGTGTTGATGCTTGAGGCTGAGACGATAAATGGAGTGACAATAAACACCAGCCAACTACGTCATCACCGAACTAGCATCCCAATTGACCAATGAGCCTGCACACTATCATAATATCGAACATACAGAGTACGGAGCACAAAGTACAGAATACAGAGTACCGGCTTTCATTTCATATTTTGATGCCAGCTAGCTACCTGAATGACCCATAATACAAAGCATGGAATCTGGAAGAATACATGGGACTCAAGCAAATGAATAAGTGCAATTGAGAGAATTACTTTGGAGACACAAACTCACTCTCAACCCAGATCCAGCCAACCCAGGCCTTTTGCACAGGAATAGAGTAAACAGCAACAGAAAAGAGACAAACTGATCGCGTCCACATGAACATCAGACATACACAATGGAGAAAGAGAAGCAGATGTGTTGAGGAGATGTGATGCGGGCGGAAACTCATTACAATACTCATATATTAATGAAAGCGCAGCTGAAGAGCAAAGGAAAGTGAAGTTTCGAAGAAAAAGAGGGAAAAAAAAAAAAAAAAAAAAAAAAGGGAAAGGAGGGCCAGCTCAGAATGGAAGCGAAAATTGCATTTAAGGTAACACATAGCCTTTTTTTCAGGGAGAAATTGGAGGCTATAAAGAGATTCGTGGAGAACATCGCATGTTAGAATATGGTGCCGAAAGAGCCGTCCGTTGGAATCGCTTTTCGGAGGCTGGTTCGTCCGTCGCCTCCAATGGCTGGTTTACGGTGCCTGAATCCAAGGGTTAGCAACGGGGCCCTAATACGAGCAAACAGTGTAAATATACCGGAAGGTAAAGCCAACAAACAGGCTCTTGCTCATTTTTTCGCCTCGCTCTGCCATCTCTTCTAGGGCTCTCTGTTTATCATGGACTTCCTTGTACTTAGCCATATCAGATTCACTGCCAAAGTCGTCGAAGTAGCCCGCATCCGTCTCGGAGTCAAGTTCGGGAACGAACGGAGGCTGCATGTCCCGCAGTCTGTTGAAGTTGACATCGATAAAGTATTCATGCATGTGAATTTCCCTGATGTTTTTGAACCGGCGCTCCTTCGAGGCCACAAGCCGGGTGATCAAGTCCCAGGTTCGTCTCGATAGGAAGTAATTTGGATCGTCGTAAACTGGTTCCTGCAAGACTTGCTCCCACTGCTTGAGGTTCTGCCATGTCTCGTCGACAGTAGCACCCGCAAAGGGAGGGTATCCGGCCAGGGCCTCGAAGAGCATACAACCCAAGCTCCAGTAATCAACGGTAAAGTCATATTCTTCTCCCTTGAGCACCTCCGGTGCCATGTAGTCGGGAGATCCAACAATGGATTTTGCGTAGTTCACTTCGCGCTGTCTCAGCGTCCGGTATCCCTCACGTCTCTCTGCAGCCGTGCGCTGGCCCATGGGTCGACCGAACGGGACCGAAGTTTTGCCGACTTCCTCCAGCTTGATCCTCATCGACTCGATCTTTCCGGGACTGAGCATGCCCGCTGCCAATCCAAAATCGGTCAACTTCACGTGGCCCGTCGAATCGATCAGGAAATTTTCAGGTTTGAGATCGCGGTGAATGTAACCCAGGGCATGGAGAGCATCAACGCATTGAATCATCTCGGCGATGTAAAAGCGTGCATGGCGATTATGCAAAACGCTAGCGTTGTTGAGCAGGGTACGGAAATCTCCTCCTGGAACATACTCCATTGCAAGGTATATCTTTTCTTCATCCTGGAAGGCGTAAAGAAGTTTGACCAGCCATTCACTCTTCGCGGCAGTGAGGATATCTCGTTCGGTCAAGATATGTCTAATCTCGTCCAGCTTGAACAAGAGCTTTTTGCTCATAACCTTCAGCGCACAGACTTCACGAGTATCCTTCTTTTGCGCCAAGTAGACCTGACCGTAACCGCCTTGCCCGACTTGTGTAAGAATCTGGAAATCAGCATGACGCAGTCTAGTTCTTCGCTTGCGCAGGTGAGCTCGCTCTCTGCCTAAGTACTTTTGGAGCGCAGCTTCGTACTCCACTCGTGAAGTGAGAGGCGGAGGGGGATAGGCGGCTTTGAACTGCGATTGACGTGTTTGGCGGTTATGCACGTAGCTCAGGAGATCAAAATAATGATCAAGAAAATCTGAGAAGGTGTGAGACAGTAAGAGCACTGATTAGATGTAGAGCAAGCAGAGAGGACAGGGAACTAACACAATTGGGCGACATTCGCGAGGCGTTTGACACCCGGTAGCTGCAATTTCTCCAGTTCTTCGGCCGTCAAGCCCCTGGTCTGTGCGGGGTTCCTACGGTCCCGACGCTCTTTGTTATTATGATATGCCTCCTGCCGCGAGAGAGCAGCGTGATTCGAATTGGGAACGGGTTCCTTGCCCAGGCGCGATCCACCTGGCGGTGCATTTTCCTGGTTTCCTCTTCGCGTCGGGCTGCCCTGCACAGAGGTTGTTTTGTGAATGACGCTCTCGTTGAAGGTGGTCAGGTTCTCGCCTCCACTTATCTGACCCTTTCCGGGAGACAGATTGCTCAGATTGAAGACAGATTTAGTCGGTGACGGCGGCGCGAGTTTCATGGCGTTATCGAAGATGCTTGGGAGGTCTGTGGCGCCTGGTGGCAGCCGACTCTTGCTAGGGCTCCCGTGTGGGGTGTGCAGCGGGCTTGTGAATCCATGGTGCTGAGGGGTTCGCGGGCGATCGTAGAGGTCGTTGTTGGAGCGTGAATGGATGAGGGACGGGATGTGAGAAGGCCTCAAGTCCTGCTTCCCCAGCGGGGATTGCGACCTCATGTTGACGGTCATCGCTGTGGTTCAGAGGGGGGGCGGTGAGAAACAGTGACGTTTTCTGGCCGCAACCCCACTATCACGAGGGATCGAGGATGCTCACAACAAACGCGTGTTGGGAGAGCAGGAGAAGCAGGCGACGGGGGTAGAAGAAAATTTCCCAGGCGCAGCAGCAGAGAAGGGCGGTGAGAAGAAGGAGAAACAGAAAGAAGAGAGGATCGGTTCTTAGCGCCCCGTCGCGGCGGCGGCGAGCTGCGTTGTGTGTTCAACCCTGGCTGGCTGGCTGGCTGGCTGGCTGGCTTGCTGGCTGGCCCCGGGAGCGTCTCGTCGAGCCGAGAAAGCGGTTTAGCGTGCGCTGTTGCTGGCCGTTGCCGCAGCAACATGGCCAACGCGGCAGGTAAGGCTGAACCACAAAGCTTGTTGGCCTTCAAAGCGTCATCAAGGACCCTGCTGGAGACTCGAGAGCAGGGGTTCGAAAGCAAGGAGGCCCGCTTCGGTTGGCCAAGTTGTGCCTGCAGCCCTCTGTTGCGTGAACGCAGCGCGGTCAAATATATGCAGTTGCGCAGGAGCCTTCCTCAGCTTCTTGATCACGGATTGATGGAGTGGAAAAGGCGACGCTGCACGTACAGACTGAAGGCTGGTTCATATTTTGGCTCGGCCCAGTGGGGATTAAATCGCAGTGATACTTGGTGTAGTATATGGTCCAGAAGCCCATCCTGGAGAGGGATCAACATGGGGCAACTCTGCGGGTGACTGTGCACGCGAGAGTGGCACAGAATCTTTTTTCACCGCCGTTCTTTATTTCACATCCTTCGGGTCATCGCATGGTTCCAGACGATACTTATTTCCCATAAGGTTCTGCGATACCCCTTATGGTGACACGCTCTTTAGCTGAGAAATGCATCCCGGATTCCATGCAAAAAGGGTTAAAACACAGGACTCTGCCAAGTGATACTGCTGGATAGCCTCGGACACTCAAACTTCGGAAAAAAAAAAAAAAAAAAAGGGGGCTCATCGTGGACCACATTTATATTGAAAAGGCATCGTGCCAATGGTCGCTATGAATGATCGATCTGTGCAATCTATATCTTAAAAGGAGAATGGTGGGAATAACACTCGTATATGTGCAATCCATCTCGACTTTGGAGAATATACTCCGTATATCATGGGGCTGTTACGATGCCAAGTATCTCGCGGAACCTTGGAAACTTTTCGAGGTGTTAACAAAAGTGTGGTACATGGTAAGTTAGGACCCTAAAGTGAATCCAGGGCTACTGAGTTTCCAAGGGTTGTGCTTTGGCTCTCCATGGAATTTTTAAAAGAGGAAAAAAGCTCCCCGGAGGATTTAGGGCAGTCGTCACGTAGATGGATAACCGGACATATATGTCTCTTCCTTTGTTATCTGAACGTTGATCGAAGATAACTTCACGATACTCTTCGTCGAAACGGAAAAAAGAGAACAAATTAACGGAGGTATATATTGACAATATATTGGGGTATTTCATCTGAAGATCTAGGAGGATCGTATCCAAAAGACCAGAGGGAATCCAATGCCCAAATCTTGAAGTGTTTGTTCTATCTAACTGAAAGGCCACACCTTTCTTTTCCCTCGAAAAAGTCTGTTCAATCGACTCTTCACGGCCTCAGAGAAAGGCTTCTTAAGCTCCGCCTTCGGCACGTTGTCCAGTCTGCGCAAGCGCCAGTCAGTTTGAATCCGGACACATTGACCGCACAACCGTGGAGATACTCACAAAGAAAGCCAATCCATACGACGGCGTCGTGAAAGTGATCTTTGCGCCCTTGGGGAAGTAGAAGACATCGCCCGGCTTGGCTGAGACCTTTTGGCCGGTGGCGTCGGAGATCTCAAATTCACCCTCCAGGATGATCTTCATCTCATCGTAGGTGTATGTATAGACCAAGGGGGTTCCCTTCTCGAGTCTGTAGAAACCAGCGCACATAGGCTTCTCTGGGTTCTCGGCTTGGCTGGATAGCGGGAAAAGGAAAAAGAAGAACCGTTAGCTTCCCGAACACCAGTGTGGAAAATATGAAGAAAACAAGACTTACCTGGTGAATACATCGCCCAGAAAGGCGTTGTCATTGGCGATCAACGGGGGTTTGAAGGTGGACTGAGCCTGGGGTTGGTATCTCAATGCGACGGGAGCAGCCATATTGTCGAAGATACAAAGGTGAGTGCTTTTCCTTGGTAGGGCTTGTCTAGTTAGCTGGTTTACCTTCGTAGAATCTGCCGGATGTTGTTACCTACGATGTCAATTGTTGGAGAAGACGTGAAAGTTGAAAAGGGATTTCATGTGAGCCTAAGAAGATGAAAAGTTGAAAGCCTATGAGCCCCTATATATGTATATGCATATACAGCGTCAAATGCATGCGAGCAATTGATTCCCTACTCAGGCTAACCAGTCCGAAGTTCGCTCTCCACACCCCTCCGGGTTGCTGGAAGAGGGGAAGGGTGACACACGCACGGCGATGCGAAAGGGTGCCCGGCCATTGCCGGTGATGGGACTCTGTTGATGCACTGCGGGGCGTCCTGTACACTGACCCAGACTCACACAGACGGTAATTGATTGACTAGAAGGAGGGGAAGCTCTGGAAGCACCGAGCTCAATGACGTTATCCCTCAGCAATGTACGGAGTACTCCATACAAAAAACATTTTCAACTATAGTGAGCATCTTTCCAGTGTAGCTGCAAGGAACAGGGTAACCGCAACCAAACCATCAATTGGAGATGCGACTGGTTCCCAGGCTCGCCGTCCTCAGCGCTCTTGAATGCTGTTCCGGCGTTCGATGTCCGCGACGCGCGACTTCTTACGGCCGTCGCGAGGGGCTTATCGATAAGGAACATGGGATTGTTTATCCGTATCAGGTTAGCTCCCGGCAAAGCTTTCCTCTTTTAGGCTAGTCCTCTCTTAAACCTGCTTATGTAATCATTCCACTGCGCACAACACGGACTTGACTTGAGCAGCATTTCATCCTTCGTCTCGCCGGTCAAGGTGCGTGTAAGTTCCGCCATGAGGTTTACGGGAGCAGTGGTGGTCGAACATGGTAGTCAACATGCAACAGACACACTTCCCAGAGATGAGGAAGGCTTAAATCATTTCCACCATGGATATCGGTGCAGCAAACACTAAACACCCACCATCCGACCAACTGCCGGCTGACTCGTTAAACGGCCCAGATCCGCAGATCCGTCCTGCTGTAACACCGGTTCGATATCGAAGAAAAATTTGTCAATATAGCCTCCTACCGCTGAGAAGTGAAGTATGTGACAGCTTGCGCTGTGGATTTCAAAGAGTCAGATGGAAAGCAGGTCTATTGCATGAACACCGGTGCTGTGGAATGTGCATCGAACAGAAAGATCCTGGAGAATGCAGAAAGGCACCAATTCAATAGTTGTGGGCTAGCTATTCTAGGACAGGCTTAAAGAAGAAATAAAAGTTGCTTAAAAGGAAGGGTACAGGGCACGGCTGCGAGTCCGATTGCATTGAATGATCTGTCTATCTCAGTGCCATCAATAAGACATGCAGCACTATTATCAAGCATATCAAGAATGTCAAGAGTGGTGTTTTTGAATTCAGGCTGAGAAAGAGAGCTGGTACAGAGCAGTTAAGGGAAGAGATTCCTTACAAGGAGTGGATGGTCCTAATTGCAAATTTTTATCCCTTACTGTTAAGGCATGCGTGAGTATATGGACTACTTCTGGAGCATCAAATAACTACTCAAGAAGAGGATCCCACTCCCTGTTCTGAGTGTAATTTTGCTTTCTTGCTTGAAGCGCATCACTGCTTCATGGCGTCGAATTTGTGACATGTCACGTAACGATAACGGTGCTTGGAGAGTTGATATCTAGCCTAGAGTATTCTTCGCCACCAAGTACCTTTCGAGAAAGAGGAAACACAGCGGAATAGTAGAACCAACAAGGTAGAAAGAAGCCATCGAACAGGAAATCTGAAAATTCACTAAGGCTTGAGTGCAACCTGTTCTCTTGGTGTTCGTCACCAGTCAATATGTATTTGTTTATGGTAGTATCAAGCTCCAGAGAGGTCTTTTTTTTTAAAAAAAAAAGAATAAGGTGGGGAAAATGTGCTTGCGAGAGGATTGGCAGCAATGACAACAAGCAATTCCACCCTCCCTGAAAGCAAGCAAAGTGCAAACAGATACACCTTGGCGGGCCTGTGTTGTTAGGTCTTAAATGACAATATGACGTGGGCATTTTGAGGATTAAAAGTCATTCCAAGAGTATGACACCAAAGCACCTCAATTGGGGGTTGTATTAAAGAACAGTGAGAAGATCGACGGTTAGGTTAGTTATATGCTGGCTGCTGGAGGGCCTCTTAACTTGCACAGAGCTTATGTTTAATCACAGAATATCCGCCCATTGTTGGAAGCAGGCCAAAAAAGTTTCAAGCTCCATCATCAAAACGTGGCTTGAGGATCATCGCGCAAGACACACCAGTAGGGATGTAAATACAGTGTGATACCAAGCTCCCCTGCCATTTTGGTTCCAGATTTGCTGGCGGTACGGAAATATTACATACTGTTACAGAGTACAGAACATTTCAATTCACTGCTCAAGAGGATTGTGTTTCTACTCTTGCTGTCCCTGTTTGCTGATGGACACTTCGCATAGAGAAAAAGTACTTGTTGCAAGCCGCCAGAAGCACAAGAAAAGGACATCTATTCTTGCTTGAAAATGCATGCATAGATGTCCAAAAGACGGTAGAGGCCCGTCATATGTGGTCAATGCAGCACTGCTGCTAAGTCTTCCGCTCCTGGCCATATTCAAAACCACACATCTTGCTTCGCATATTATGTATTGACAAAGCAACAAATGGAAAAAAAAATTGGAGAAAAGATCCCATTTTTGTTTTTGTTCTCCTTTTCCCCTTATTCCTCCGCAAGCTCCTCCGTAACGAGCCGCAGCAGATCAGTCATTGCTTCCTGCATCTGCGTGGTGACTTTCATAATCTGAAGCAATCTTGCCCTACGGGCTCGACGGTCTATCACTTCTTGACCCTGTTCTTCGTCTTCTTCACGGAAAGCTTCAGTTGCAGTGCGACGAGCAGGTCTGGCTAAGCCGGCAGAATTTGCGGTTGATGAGGGATTTGGCGCTAGTCGATGATCGATTAGTGGACTTTCAGAGGCAGGGGCTTCCCCTTCCGGGACATTGGACGCCGCGCGCTGGCGACGGGGACAACTGCTGCTCAATGCACTGTTCCGCGCGCGAACAGGCGGACGGCGACGAGTGATTCTGTCTTCTGCATTATAATTTATGTCAGTTAGTGTACGGAGTACATCGCCTGCTTTTGTATTCTTATTTTTATTTTTAATCTTAAATCATGTTAAGCTTACCGCTTCGCAGAGAGCAGTAGCGTCCGGCGCTGTTGAAATGGCAGTTTGCGCACGATCCGCTGAGGAATCCCTCCAGAGCCATGCAACCAACAAATGGACCTAGCCCCCGCGCGCAACGTTTGCATGGCCCAGACTCGCTACCAACAGCTTGGACAAGCAGGGCCTCTAGGTTTGTGGCCCGCGTGAGTGTAAGGTTGCGAGAGCTCCGGGGTTGCACTGGCCGCCATGGTCTTATCTCCAGAAGCCGGTTAATAGTCGGAGACCGGTTAATACTGTCACCAGACACGTATGTCTGGATTCGTGATGGAGTTATTAGCTCAGGGAGATCATCAGACAAGGAAGTGAGTGAAGTCGAGTCCCTGCGCACTGAGTCGCGCTTTTCAGGCCCCATGCGTCCTGGCATCTGCAGCAGTAGCTATTGTGGCAATATTAGCGGTTTGATAAAGTTTCGCGGAGGATGGAGCCGCTGTGACGCGCACTTTTCGTTACTCTGCCATGTATTGAGCGTCGGTTTACAACGGCCAATGAGGAAGCAAATAGTCTGTACGCAGTATGGAGGAAGCTGCAGGGAGCTTCTAGTGCGATACCGGGTTTTCCCGTGTTGCCTGTAGCTGGGTAGTTATGATTCATAAAGTTGGCAATCCCGTTAAGTGAGTCCGGAATCTTACTCCCAGAAAGGAATATCGTTGAAAAAGGCCCGATACATGCATCATGTACTCGGTAGGTACTATGCATGGGATGTCCTCCATAATACTACCTGCATATATGAACTGACACACAATGCTGGACATTTTTCACTTTTCAGAATGATGTATGATGTATTAATATTTCGCGTCGAAACTGGCTGGAGCCTTGGATGATAGGTCACTGGCTGCAGCGTTAAGCAATTTGTATATTAGGATAATAGCTCCCTCCCTCTTTGTTCATGGCCGCAATTTTCTTGTTTTCACCGTCCTGTTGATCTCTGGTGGATTTGTGGTTGGTCTATTTGAATTATTCACATTTGTCGGTAATTAAGTTTGTTTTCCAGATTACCTCCCCTGAAGTCCCAGATTCAAATATTGGAATCGCATCAATGAAGCCAGGCTTTATCCCTCACTGAATGTGATAATTGGTGAGTAAACTGTGTATTTGCTTCTCGTGCCTCTCTTAGGAGAAAGGTTCCAATGAACAAACCCCCATTCTCTGCCTGAGCAAGAGGCCTAGATCCCAAACTCAACAAAATAAATTGAGGGGAAAAAAAAAAAAAAAAAAAGGAAAGAAAAGAAAAGAAGATATGCGCTTAGAAATAGTTCATTCACACCAAAATTCCTCAGAACCCAGTGTCCAGGAACTGAAAAAGTCCAGAAAACACCGGCCGTGATCTAGATACCACCGCTACTGCTGCCACTATAAACACCAGAACCGGGTGTTGGACAGAGAACCAAAATACTCTGACCTATCAAATCAACTATAATGTTATAAACCAAGCAAAAATCACGGCAAGCTGGAAAATTTGCAGAAATAGACATATATCAGACAAAAGCCCTACAAGGGCGAGCTAGTGGGCACCATATGGGATATCTCGGTACGTATTAGTCATATATATAGGTGGCTTTGGTTATCTAGGCTGAGGATCTTTGACGGTCAAATTATCGCCGGATAAGTAAACCTGCTTATCAAAAATGGAGATTGGGATCGGAAGGCGTCTGCACTGGAGGGAAGCTTATGAGATTCCGCGGCTGATTGGAGCTAGGTTCCACTGTGGATACTTGGGGCGATAAGCAAGAGCTTGTCACTTATCTATTGACGGACCGAGTCGAATACTGACACCTCGAAGGACAGGGTAATGGCGGCGCTCGTGACAGTCACGGACGAACTTCAGACGTATCTTGATTCATTATTGGTCGTTGTTAATCCAGGAGGATCGAAGGAGGTAGAAAAGACTCGCGAAGTGGACGGCAAAAAAATTGCGCCGGGCCTGCAGCATCCAGAAAAAGGAATAACGGGCTGGCATGCAAGGGGAGACGATTCTTCGTATGATCTCCGTAGGGAAACTGCTAGTGCCGATGGCCATAACATAAACTGTGGAAAGTAGAGCTTAGATGAATAATAATCATAGCATCGTTAGGAATTTTGTGAATGATGACACTATCCCAGCAGCACTATCCAGGAAAATAATTGGTTAATTAAGGTCAGTTTGCATAAAACAGGGGGTAATTTGATATTTACCTTCCCAGTTCCAATCCCTCATAACTCCTAGCCAGTGTAGTTTGCCTCGAACCGTTTTCTCAAACTCCAAACCTTCCAGTGGCATATGCATAGATCCTTTCCTTACTGGAACAGGGATAGGCGAGGACAAAATGGGGGATCCAAAGCTCAAGTTACTTATGTCCGGTACCGACTGCCGCCTTCCTTGGTCGTCGAATAGATCTAAAGCCTCGGGATAGTCGTCATCAATAGCGCTACCTTGCTGGATATTCCCTCTTCGCGTTGGGTCTAGAGGGATGACATAGGAAACTTGCTGGCCTCTGAGCTTTGTCAAGTTATATTCGTCACGGCGGGACCAGACAGCATGGATAACCTCCAGGCAGCGATCAATGTTCCCTATCATTAGTCTATTTTGCATTGCCGCCCAACGTTCTCGAACCCAGGTTCTATCCTCCTCATTATCGACTTCGCAGCTTGCTGCCAAAAGGGGGAAAATTTGCACGACGATTGCCCTAGAGCTGAGGGGGACTGTCGCTAATAGAACAAGAACTCGTTTTGCAAGTTCACTTGCAGGTTCTGATGGAATCTCTGGAACTGCGAGGTGGAGATGCAGTAATGTTGCCCAGCGGTACGCCTGAGCGGTTTGATAGCTATGTTGGACATCAGAGGTTGGATCTTCCGGCGGCTCGAAGTATTTAGGAGGCTCCCACTGCTCGATTAGAGTTTTCAATTCGATTGCTTGTGATATTATGGCGATAGAATTAGTTTTAGTACTGCAAACCTTCCGAACAAGATTGGCAACCTGGCCAATCAGAGGGAACAACGTAGCGGCGCAACCAAGTAGAGGGTCTATTTCATGAACGCGGGTATGGGGTAATGGTTCAGGAAGCAGCGGGAAATCGTCGAACCCGGTTTCCTCCAGGGATGTTAGGCGAGCTAGCACGGCTGTATATACCCAAGTATTGTAGAGGAAACGTAAACGAGCGAAGTCACTGCGCCGAGCTGAAAGCTGCCTCTGGTTTTCCATAGCTTGGGTGACAAGAACTTTGGCTCCGCGGAGATGCTGGACTCCGTTAGATATATGCCTATCCCATGACTCTGCAAATGCGAGCGCGAGTGTGGTCGCCAGAGCAGCATCCGTCCTCATTGTTCTAATGTTCATGGCTAGAGCACGAACACTTTCCCGCATGTGGTCCATCCCATAAACTTTCAATTGCGGATCTTCTTTGCTGCAGTGGAATGCGGCCAAAGAACAAATGGCATGATACAATGCTGGGGATTCTTTGGCCAAGGGCCAAACCAGTGTGCGCCAAGGATTTTCAGATATCCCATCTTTGACGGACAATATGCCACAGGTTCTTCGGTCAAACCTCATCAGCAGCATCTCAGAGCTTCCAGACGAAAATTTGGGTTCCACTGGCATTGTGAGATTAAATAATGCTCGAGATATCATCGACGGAGATACGGGATCACCCCAAAGGTCTGTCTGCCTGACGACTTCTTCTATTTCCCCATCCTCGCCGTTCATGTAAGGTGGGAAAAAGGACCCATATTGCTGTCCATCAAATGAAGCATTAGGAGTGTGAATGGTATGAGTATCGGAAAGATGATCATCTCTAGAATTGGGCGACTGGCCAAGTGGAAATTCCAGTGGGCTCGGAGGTAAAATGCGGTCTTGACCCTCAAGCGCAGGCTCATGCGGGCTAGGCATTTGAAGAAGGACATCGCTTGGACTGGGAAAGACGATATCTGGATTTGATGGAGAAGCGGAATGTAAAAGGGGACTGTCGTTCTGTGCGTCACTGCTCCGAATTTGCCAGGTTGGACTTCCGGGGCTCCGTGGGCTTGAAGATGTGTTGGAGATTTGATTGGTAGGCGAAAGTGATGAAGCCCGAGGCAGCGGGATTACTACCAAGATGTCAATTACCCTATTAGGGCTCTTGAATGGAGGGAATAAACATACCTTTTTTCCCTTTAGAGGATACCTTATTGGCGAAACTCGATTCCTCAAAGGGTCTCCATTTGAAGTCCTTTTTATAACCTCCACATGTGACATTTCTTTTCTGACACTGTCGACATATTGGCTTTGTCTCGTCGCACTTCAGTCTTTTTGATTTGCAAGTCACGCACCCTACCAAAAGCATTCTATATTAGCGGATGCGGCGAGATTGGGATGGAAACAGAAGATATCGTGAACGCATCAGATTAGCAACTAAATTGTAAATGAGTAGGTGCTCACCATTCCGACTCTTTGACTGTTTCGGTTTCACGCCAGCCGATCCGTCAGCTGTGCCCTTTTTGGTTGAGGTTCCCGGAGCTTTTGACGGCGCAGCACCTATGCGCGTGGGACTCCGGGATGTGGCTGCGGCTGCGGCGGAAATGTTGTTTGGTGAGACATCTGATAGCGGAGCAGCTGGGGGAGTTCGGATGACTTCCATGCCCAACAGTGAATGATGCCTGAAAGATTCAGCTCAAGGTTTCGGCATGGAGAAAAATCCAGTATATGAATCGCGATTAGGTTTGAATGCTCCTTGGGTCGTAGCCAACTCAAGGCGGAGGAGGGATCGAGAATGTATGGAGAATAGATACCTAGGCAGGGCGATGTCTCCAGCTCAAGGCATGGGGCATCTCCGGGTGCAAAGAAAGAGATGAAAAAAGCAAGGAGCTGCCCATGAGACTGTGCGGACACGACAGCGATTCAACGATGTTGCACAGGGCCAGAAATGCGGGGACTCCAAGAGCGCTGATGGATGTAGCGTCGAAGCAAGTTACGGGGTAAGCTTTGACGCTGGCTCCAAGTTTACGCTGCCGAGAAACTTTGCCAGGAGCCGAAGAGCCCCGGTGATAGAGATTCGAACGTGAATACCGGACCTTTGAGAGTGAAGATAAGGCACCAGGCAGCAGTGAGGGAAGATAGAAATCCAGCTTCAGCAGGCTGGCAGTCGAGGCCAGGGCGTGTTGATTGAGATAGACCAACGTCGGTGGCTCTGGAAGTGGCAAGCCACGTCTTTTTCTCCGCAGTTTACCAGCCGTGACGGGTCCCGTCAGAGTGGAGAACACACCAAAAAGCGAGTGTGGAGAAGGTCCCTTATACAGCTCACATACGCGGCGAACCGTAATTTTCTGGGACGCTTCCAGCCCTTTGCCGATGCCGACACACTAGGCTCGCTGGTGCTGTTTCTCGATGGTCAGGCATGGCATGCCGGTCAGCCAACAATGTCCCTGTGAGCTCTGAACGTAATCTGAGCCGTGGTATTGCGGATACATCCTTGGGACCCAACTGTCTGGTATGTCTTCCGTCCTTACTTCGTGGTCTGGCTGGAATAACTACCTATCTTATCTCGACAAGGCTTATCTCAACAAGGGTGTCCCAGTCGGCAGTGGATTATGTATCGACCGGCTGGGTGCACGGACATGAATATGTGTGTACAGATTACCTCTCACAAAGGCCTCCAGCCTGATAAGCATGAAAGCAGGGAGCCATGCTGTGCTCTCTCTACGGAGTGCATAGGATTTTGAATTAATAACAGCGTTTGGACTGGAGGCTCTGTCATCGAGGTCAGATAACTACTGTACATATCATTCAGCCAGGCCAAAGCGTTCGTGAGATTTTTTCTCGTATCTATGTGGGTCACGTGAATGAGGCTAAAAGGCATGATTACCTAACAAGGTTATCCTGCAAAAGATATCTAACCCTAATTAGACTAGCGTGGTTATATCGGGATATCTAATTATCCGAGAAACAACTGAATTGGAAAGGTTCCGACGCCAGGGAAAGACACCTCTGTGGTTCTACCATCTAGGCCCGACTGTTCAACGCATGGTTTTTATATTGTGAGATTAGCACACGGAACGATGGCCACCTTTTGCCATTGGATGACAGGCCTTTTCACCAGCCTTGACTTTAGTGATCTTTTTGGCGGGAAGCTTCGTTTCCAGCCTTCCATGACGACGTGCGAGGGAGGTCGGCCTGCTCTGAAGGACTGCAACATCTATGGGCTCGGAAGTCATCACCCTCTCTGTGACTTCGACTATGTCCGATATCAACTTGTCAATTAGGTCTCCTGACATGCTTTCACGGACGACAACGCGCAAGATTTCAATGTTGTCTGTTTTAGGCGGTAGCGGATAATCTAGACGATGCCCATGGAGGTTAGCGTCGGCTGGCCAGTTTCACGCTCTGCGCACATGCTTAAATGGAAAAAAAAAAAAAAGGAAGAAAAAAAAAAAAAAAGGAGGGGGAAGAAGAAGAGGAGGAAACCATGGTTCATGTACTTGGAATAATATATTGCTTTGCTCTGAGCAGCAAGCTTATGGCCTCCTGTTTCACGTCTGGATACTCCTTTTTGAATTGCTCGGAGAACCGGAATGCGACGACAGGCAACCCTTCGTTGTAATCCGCCGAGGTTTCTCCTGGCCTGTGCGGCTGGATCTCGCCAACACCCCGGAAGCGATAATCGCCTTTTTTGCGGTGGATGTCGCTAACGCAAACGTACCATCCGGTCCTTTCAAGAGCCTTGCTCAGCAACCGAGCGTTCTGCAGGCAGTTCTCCATCACCTCGCGGTACCCATCGAAGCCCAGGCGGATGAGATTGTAGTATTGGCCGATGACCTGGATCCCTGGGCGAGAGAAGTTCAGGCCAAATGACTCTTCAGTTCCTCCAAGGTAATGCAGCTCGAAGATGAGGTCTTTTGGCAGATAGGCGCGATCACGCCAAATGATCCATCCCAGTCCAACGTACACAAGGCCGAATTTATGGCCCGACACGTTAATTGAGTGGACACGGGAAAGTTCGAAGTCCCTAATCATAAATCAGCGTATAAAAGCCAACCGGATCCTCTGGAAATATACCACTTAGAACCACCGGCTCCTGCATGTACGAAAGGTGCTATGAAGCCACCACTTGCTGCATCAACGTGGATAGGTATATCCCAGCCGTGTTCCTCTTGCACCTGGTCTAAAATTCTGGATAGTTCCTCGACAGGTTCATAGTGCCCGGTGTAGGTACTGCCTAAGATTACGAAGATCCCGATGGTATTTTCATCCACGTTCTTCTTGATATCGTTTGGGTCAAGCCGGTAGTGACTGTTCTCAGAAACATCCAGTATCCTTGCCTCAACATCGAAATATCTCGCGAATTTCAACAGGGCCACTTGTGCGTTCGCTCCCATCAGGATATTGGGTTTCGATGTATCTTTCCCTTCCGCCCTCCGCTTTTCCTGCCACCGTCGCTTCATTGCCAGGCCACCTAGCTGAATCGCCTCCGAGGATCCCGTAGTGGCTGTTCCGATGGGCTGCTCACCAGGTCGAGGGTGCCACATGTTCGCGATCATCGAAATACACCGGGCATGAAGGTCCATCAGGGCAGGGTATTCGTCCGCATCTGCAAGGTTCTTGCTGATGTTCTCGACGAGCAGCTGTTGGGCCTCGCGCTCCATGAAAGTGCCGACGAAGCTGATTATCAAAATGCAGGTTAGTAACTTTATGCAGCCTTCCAATATACCCTTCCACGACAGCCATCATTTCCTTCAGCTGTAGGCTATTTCTTCCCAAGTCATCCCCAAAACCTTAATGACAGCACCTAGACCAAAGCGAAATGCAAACATTGCCTACCTCGCCATGTTCAAGTTCGGAATCCCATCTAGGTCCAGCTCATCTCTCAAAAGACGATACACCGCTTCTGCCGACGCCCCTAGCTGAGGTATTCTAAACTTCGGTATCTCCTCGCTGCTTGCGTAGCGAGTGGAATATGCCGTTCTGGTTGCGACAGCGTTGAGGGTGAAAACGTGCCGTCGATGGCTCTCTTCGGGGTCATTGCGAAGTTGTTCGATAACTTCTTCTGGATTCACCTATATCGCAATTGTTAGATCTAGGTTGGACGAGGCAATTGAATTACTGGATAGCCATTCGGGGCCGCGACAGTGGGTTTAAATCGATGAAATGTCAGGGGTACTTCACATGAGTTGCGAGATGCATGTTGACTCAATTGGATTTATATTCCGAAACACCCCAATCCTCGGGTCTTATAGACAAATCCGCTTGGAGATTTAAATGTAATTGAATCCCAATTGATATTCACTCCTTGAAATGCTGCCTTTATTTAGGGGGTGGGGAAGGGGGTGGGTGTTAATACAAGCTGCCCAGACTACGTACGTCATTGACGTTGATAAGCTTTCTATACCCCATGCATTGACAAGGAAACTTGAACACAGAAGCTTGTTAGCTAAGGGGGGCACTGTCGTCCGTTGGCTGAATCCCCCTGGGGACGACGTGAGATACCAAATCGCAATGCTAATACGAAGTGATAGCCTTCCGTTATGGGGCTAGCAAAGAGCTCTGGGGGGTTTTGGGCTGAAGGCCATCAATTTCTCTCTCAACTAGCGCCTCAGATACTAAGCGCGGTTAAGCCTTCATAAGAGGGTCAAAAATACGAATTAGAGAAACCCGGGATGTATGCGGAGAGGTGTGGCATTTTGGGAATGATATAGAAAGAATCAAAATTTCTCTATTTCTATGTAACAGGGTGTTGCCTAGCTGGAAAAAAAAATAAATAAATAAAACAAACCATGTTGCAAAGAAGCAATGTACACTAATCATCCTTTAGTCTTCCGCAAACTCAAACACGACACTCTTCGGCTCAACATAGGTTCCCAGCGGCTTATACTCGATGTTTTTGTATCCAAACGCTCCCGGGCCACCATACTCCAAGCCCCGAGGCGTGTCCGACCATCGGGGCGAGCACGCAATTCCGAGCACGGTAACCATCAAGCCGTACCTAAACTCCGGTACACCCAGCGCCTTACCGGACTGCGTATCCAGGACAGAAATCAGATCCGGCACCATGGCGATGTACTTCTCCTCGCCCGTCTCAGAGATATGCTTCGCGTAGATATTCTCATTCTTGAAGGGGATCTTTAGCGTCCCGCCCACCGCGACGGCGGGGACGTTGTCGGAGCCGGACTTCTCTTCCTCCGACTGTTGTGTCTGCTGGATGGTGATTTCGCCATAGGAATGGCCCTTGAACAGGCGTCGCTCGACGGCGATGATCTTGCCGCGGAAGAGGACCTTGGCGGTCTCAGGACCGCCGATTTCGTCGATCATCTGCTCAGCGACGGTGGAGAGGGTGTTGTTGGCGTGGGCGCGCGCGATGCACCGCCCGATACGCCAAGCGAGAGAGATGGTGTTGATTACGCTGTATTTGTGGACGCGGTCGGTTGTTGTGGGTTTGGCGGCCATGCCGACTCGGGAGCCCATTTCGGAGCAGGAGGCGCGGAGGGCTCTGTCGACGATCTCGTCGTCGGTGGTCTTGGTCATGATGATCGAGCGGCCGTCGCCTGAAGCGATGGCGCATGGGACTAGTTGCTTCTCTTCATAAACACACATGGTGGTTTGCCAGTATGTTGGATATGCACGGCCTGGATATATGTCAGCAAAAGGCTGCCGCACCTATTAAAGAGAAAAAGGGGCTACACATACCCATCCAATCCGCATCGATAACCGGGCAGTCATGATTCTTCGTAGAGCCTAGGGCCAATGGTTGAAGTCCGTTGGCACCTCCAATCTCCAAGCCCATGACAGCGTCGATAGAATCGTGTTTAAGGTATTCCATGAGTTCCAGGAATGCATGCTCGGTCTCTTCGTGTGCCAGGCGCTCCACAGACACAGCGGGAGATCCCATGTGGCCACCCCCTATTCATTAAAAAAAAAAACTTTAAGTATGAGATCGAAAAAAAAAAGGAACTGGAGGAAATAAGCAATGCAAAGAAAACGGACTTACAGTAGATCAGAGCATCCTTTGGCAATGAAGATGCGTCGATGATTCGAATGGTGTGACCTTGTCGTATCTGATCTCTGATTCGGATGTACTCGCCAAAAGGCGAACCTCCACCGGCACAGCCAAGCACATAGCACCCGTCGGCTATCCATTGAACATCGAGCTCAGAGACTATCCATTCGGGTACCCCTGTCTTGGGATTTTTAACCACCTTTGGTCTGTACTTCTCAATATCGACGGCGGCGGCATTAGGTTCATCAAGATGTGCATCCCTCTTGGCCGCCTCCTTGTAGATCTGCTCGTCATCTTCGTCGTCATCGTCAAGCACACTGTCACTGGGCGGCACACCGTCTGGGGATAACTCGCCAACCGCTCTTGCGATAACGCGCACCTGGTTGGCGACGTACTGCAGCGGGAGAGCATCCACCTCGGCCAGGTAGACCGTTTCACGTAGCGCGCCGGATGCAACCGCCCGCTCGATGGCTGTCTCTTTTGCCTGTTCCACGATCTCTTTGACGGTTCGCTCTTCGCTGCTCTGGATCATGTCGACGGTGCCGCCAACCTTTGACATCGCCGCTCCGACGGCGTTGGCAACTGAGTGGAAGGGCGGACAGATGACCTTGGATACACCGTCTAGTTCTGTAGGTGCTATGACGGAACCGCCACCGACCAGAAGAACAGGAAGAGGAGCAGGGGAGGTTTTCATCAGGTCAACGACGTTTTCCAGCATAGTCTTCATGCGTGCCCGGGCGTTGGCAACGGTGTTCTGGTCGACATCCTGGACGAGGTTTGGATCTCCAATCTTCTCACCCGCCGCCACTGCGATATCTGTGGCGGTGAGAACGTCTCCGCCGAAAACCTTGGCTCTCGTGCTTAGGAAGTGGCCGACGGAATCGGGGCCGACGGTCACTTTACCATTCTCGGAGCGGACGATGGAGCCGCCACCCAGGCCAATAGATTCAAGGTGCGGCATGCCAAAGTTGATCTGAACACCGGCAACGGTCACGTAGGCGGAAGCTTGACGTGGGAATCCAGATGGAAGGAGGACGCCAACGTCGCTGGTGGTTCCGCCGATATCCACGACGATGGTTGCAGTTTTCTCTTCCGTGCCGTCGCTCTGACCGCTGAGGCCAAGATACGCGGCGCCTCGCATGGAATTAGTTGGTCCAGAGGAGAAAGTGCGAATGGGGAGGCGGGCGGCGGAGGGTGCATCGATCAGAGTGCCGTCATTCTGGGTCAGATACAGCGTGCAGTTAAGGTCCAGGCGCTTCATGGCGTTCTTGAAGCCGCGAATGGTCCGTCTGGCAAACTTGAGGATCGACGCGTTCAGGATAGATGCGTTTTCTCGCTCGAGATATCCGATCTGGGAGACTTCGGAGGAGCAGACGATGTCCACGTCCGGGAGCTCCCTGCGCACGATGCGCCGGACATGATCCTCCTGGTGGAAATGGTCATCGATGGGGGAGAAGACGCCCGATATGACGACGGCGTCAAGTCCCTTTTCCTTGATGATGGCGCATTCCCTGACGATCTGGTCCTCGTTGATGGGAGCCTCCTGGGAGCCATCGATGTGGAGGCCACCGTCGACGTAGCAGTAGTAGCCGTTCATGATAGACTTGAGAACGGGCGGGAAGTCAGAGAAGGGCGGGACCTCTCTGGTGAAGGTCCGCGAGAGCCGGATGATGGCCACCTTGGACAGCCGGCGAGCGTCATGTTCGACGATGGCATTGATGAAGTGGGTGGTACCGATCGTCAGACACGCCACCTGGTCCCGGGGTGCCTTGGACTGGTCCAGGACGCTGCGGACGGCGGCCTCGATCCCATCGGTCACGTTGGGACTGGTGGTGGGAGTCTTGTGCCAGGCGACAACGCCGCGATTAGCAGACTTGGTTTCCCGTGTGTCAAGGATCACAGCGTCGGTGTTGGTGCCGCCAACGTCCACGCCAATGCGATAAGGTTTAATAGCAGCTGCCATCGTGCAAGATATCTATGCAGCCGGAGTGGGGGCGGGCGGTTGGTTTAGGAAAAAGGAAAAGACGAAAACTGATATTTCTAAGATATCAATCCCGGGGTATATGTCCTTTTGATAAGGGAGAGGATGGAATCGCTTGCAAGAGGGAAACAAGCCAATATATCCTAGTAGAAAAAAAAAAAAGTATGAAAATGAAGAGAAAATGAAGAAAACGGTGCTCTACGCTGTCCTTTGGTCTGACGTATCTATCAGTCAGCTTACGGAAAGGGGGAAAAAAAGAAAATTTATATATATATAAATAAATAACTAAGAGACCAAGGAGGAAGAAGAAGAGGAGGAGGAGGAGAATATCGCCCTTCGACCGCAGCGCCAGGACCTTATATGTCCTCTTCCCACAAATCTTCCTTTCTCCCCCCCCGCCCCATCCCCTCTCTCTCTCGTCTCCCCCTTGTCCGTGGACTCATCGATACGCGGACATCCCCACCGCCGACAGCTCTGGTTGTGAGAAGGTTTCTGGCCAATTACCCGGGCCAACGTGACCGGATTCGCAGGATGCCATGTCCGGGCAAAAAAACCCCCCCAACCCACCACCCTCCACGCCCAGATCACCACCACCTTTGCCCGGATGGAGCTCGCCCGTCCGCTGCTGTCTCTCTCGAGTCTTTTGAGCTGCACGGAAAACACGAGCACCGGCCACCTGCGATTCCGATTGGCTGGGGTCGATTCCGTCCCCGCGCGTCGGTTTCCACCAATCAGCGCGCTCTCCCGCCGGGCACTCGAAGGGGCGGAATCGGAGACCGACTGCGGAGGAAATTTTTTCCCACGTTGCATTTTTCGCGACTTCAAAAAAAAAGGACATCGAGGCGTCTTTCTGCAGGACATTAAGCGTGCATCATAATATATATATATATATATATATATATATGTACATCATGTCCTGCACGTCCGGAGTACATGCATAAAGTACTTGGCTAGCACGATCATGATGTGGGGATAAGGTTGGGCTGGTTAGTTTCAAAACTAACTCAACTAGCTGGGTGGACGAGCTCAACCACCATCCAGCCCATCCTAAGAGAGCTTCGAGAAAAATTTACTTGGATCAACTCTCTCGCGGTCTTGTTCTGTCCCTGGGGCAGGCTGCTGCTCTGCAAGCCTGGCCAGATAAGCCGGAACCATGCAGCTCTAACATCATCGTCATCATCACCGTCTTCGCTCTCACCATGGGGAGGG